TTGCTTACTATCTGCTGTATGCACTTTTGCTTATCCTCTTTCAAGTCAATACTTCCCTGACCTGTACTGTGATTTTTCTGAACTTCAGTCAGATTTTCTGAGGGTTGGTGCTCATAGGTGTTAGGTTCACACATTCTAATCTTTATGTGTTGGCAAGTAGTAAAGTCAACTTCACAGTTATCCAGTTTTAGTTTCTATATTTTGAATGTTACAAGGAATTAAACTGTACATTTTTTCAAGATTTGGCCTTTAACAAAAATTGTCTTCTAATATTTTCCTTCATACTACATGGTCTAACATATTCTTGTTCACAATAGTAAAAACGAAATGATGAGAAAAATTGTCTCCCATGAAGGACACTTTTAAGGGAGCATATGAGGATTACAATGTCTATTATTCTATATATATAGGCTGGATTTTCTTCCTTCACTTGCATTTAAACAAATTTAAGGTGGCTGTGCTTCAGGTAATGGCCAAATAAGCTCCCATAAGACCAACCTTGGTGTAGAATCAAGTATGAATTCTGGACAAAACAGCAAACTACTACTGACGGCCCAGGCCTGAGGGATCAAATTAGGCAGACGCTGATTTGAGAGGAGTCCAGTTATCAGTGGAAGAAGAGCACAGCACTTGAGTAGGTTTCCTGATGTTTTTGTAACTTTTAATGATGTTTATCATGGCCCATTCTTGGCCATGTTGGACAGATAAAGATGCAATAGAACATCCTTAGTCTTTCTAGCTTGGCCAAGCAGAAGCCAGTTTGGGGCAACTATAGCTGCTCTCAAGTGAAGAAGGAATTCCAGAGACATCACAGAGGAGAGACTGATGTCTGCATCATTTCTACCCAAGTCTCTGTCTTCAGAACTACATGTGTATAGGGCAGACTCCATATTGTCCTATTAAGAAAAAAAAAATCTGAATTGTGTGCTGATCAAGAGACATAAGACTATGCATTGAGTACAATCAAACTAATCTTCTAAAATAAAATGTCAGTACTGTCCAGAGAATAGGAAATGCTGTCTCCATAACATGTCAAATGTTATTATCCAAACTTAACTCTTTGATTTAAATAAAAAATTTTGAAGTTAGTTGACTTCTGAAGAAATAGGAACATGTGATATATCCTTAGAAAAGGCAAATAACAGTCCATCTCTTGAGGCAACCCAGACATTGCAATAAGCTATTCTGAATGGTATAAAGGAAAACATGTTCATAATAAACAAACGGCCTAGAAATAAAAGCTCTACTAAACAATCAAGTTAAAATTCTAGCAGTTAAAAATTCCATGCTTAAGAATTTATCCAAAAGAGCTGGGTACTGATGGCTCATGGCTGTAATCCTAGGTATGTGGGAGGCTGAGATCAGGGGGATTGTGGTTTGAGGCCAGCCTGGGAAACTAGTTTGTGAAACCTCCATCTCCAAAATAACCAGAGCAAAATGGACTGGAGACATGGACAAAATGGACAGTGTAACACCTACCTAGCAAAGGTGAGGTCCTGAGTTCAAACTCTAGTACTGACAGGAAAAAAAAAAGTTAAGAATGGCCTTAACATAAAATTCATTCTATTATTTTTATATCACATTCTCTGAATTTCTAATGCCTTTTATTAAATATAGAGGATATTGTTTATTTTCTCCTGATTTTGATTTAATTCTCTGTTGATAATTGTTAATAAATTTACAAAAGGGTTTAAAATAGAGGATTACAATTTCAGCTGAGAGGTGATAAACCTTTCAGAGACAAATTTGTGCATGGTTAAATTCACGTGTGCACTTTGCTAGGCCATAGTTCATTGATCAAACATTATTATTTTGGATATTTCTATAAAGGTTCTTCTGTTTGTTAAGAGGAGATTAACATTTAAATCAGTTAACTCTGAATAAAACACATTGCTCCCCATAATGTAGGGACCTCATTTAAATTGTTGAGATCTTTCATAAACAACCAACCAACCAAACAACCCCCCTGCCCCGCCCCGCCACAACCCCACAAAGGATGGAATTCTGCCAGACTGCCTTTGGACTTAAACTACAGCTCTTCCCTGGGTAGCAGCCTGCTAGCCTACCCTAGAGTTTGGACTTGCCCAAATTTCACAACTGTACAAGCCACCTACCCTCCTTCCCACCCACACATGCACCATGTTACTTTTGTTTCTCTGGAGAGCCCTAATACAAATTTCAAAAATGTTTCAATGTTCAAGAGTAATTAGTACATCAAAACACCAAGGACCCCTGAGTCAACAGCATCTTTGTTAGCAAGACTGAAACAATCTAAATCTGAGATATAAAGTCATTACTGAACTTTGAGTCTGAAAAGCAAAGACTTGCTTTATCATGCAGCAAAAATCTATCTCTTATTAATGCTAATTGTAGAGCTGCAAGGAATCATTTGTTCAAGAGAAATCACTCTTTAATATTAAAATGATTATAAAAGAGATGAGTTGATAGAAACAATGACAGGAAGTTCCTCCAGCCGCACTCCCCCCCCCAGGCCCATAAATCCTTTGAGAGATGCTGAGGTATCATAGGTACTAAGGAACCAAGTCTGAAAACTCGTCTAATGGACTCTTCCCTAGTAATCCCTTTCTTCTTTCTTTCCTTGTACCATGAGGCACATGAGCAGAAGGAAACAAAACAATACCAGCATAAACTCCAAACAGGAGGACATCTCCCTCCCTAGGAATGTTTTTGCTGGCATCATTGTTCCTCTGAGGATAGGAAGGGAGCTGAACCTTTATTTTGCATGTAATATTGGCTCTATACTATTACTTAAGTAAATTCTACCTAGTACTAATCATGTACCAAGGTAGAATACTAAAAATATAAATTAGCCAGACATGGTAGCTCTGGCCTATAATCTCAGCTCCTTGGGAGGCAGAGATTGAAGGACTGTGGTTTCAGGCCAGTCCAGGCAGAAATGTTAGTGAGATCCTATCTCAAAGAAAAAATGGTGCATGGAGATTCATGACTGTAACCACAGCTACACAGGAAGCAAAGGAAAGAGGATCATGGTACAAGGTGATCCTGGGCAAAAGCATGAGACCCTATCTAAAAAATAACTAAAAGCAAAAAGGGTTTGAGGCATGGCTCAAGTGGTACATCACTTGCCCAGCGAGTGTGAGGCTGAGTTTCAACCTTAGTACCACTGCTAGGAAGCGTGCTCAAGCCTGTAGTCCTATCTACTCAGGAGGTGGAGATTTGGAGGACCAAGGTTATAAGCCAGCCTGGGCAAAATAATTACTGAAAGAACTCCCCCTCCCGCCCCCAATCTGAATCAATAAACTGGGCATGGTGGCATGCACCTGTGAATCCAGCTTGGCAGGAAGCTGTTGGTAAGAGGATTATGGTCTGAGACAGGCCCCAGGTAAAACTCAAGACCCTCCCTGAAAAATAACTAAAGCAATAAAGGGTTGGAGTATGGATGAAAGTGGAAGAGTGCTTGCCTAGTAAGCATGAGGCCCTGAGTTCAAACTCCAGGACCAGAAAAAAGAAAAAAAATACAAACTAAGTTATAAAGATTTACTTCTGTATAATAAATCATTGATATAAAATCTGCCCTTGAAATAGGACAAAAAATAAATATTTTTATGCAACTTTGCTAAAATGTTTTTATTTTGGAACAGAAACATGGGCAATCCAATGAAATGAAAGAACAAATGGTATTATCTTCTTCATTTGCAAAGAAATGTCAAATGACTTGCGTAAAGTCACAGAATGAATGAGCATGCAAGATGTCCTCTAATGCTCTAACTCTAACCTACCAGAATGTCAACACTCCAAGGGCAAATAAGCCTCTCTTGTGTTCACTCTTGCATGACGAGCACAGCATCATTCTCCTTACTGGAGCTGCTAATGTCAGGAAGAGTGCGCAGAACAGGTATTAAAGAGTTACATGTATTTGGTAAAGAAGACAAATGATAGACAGTAGCTCCCTTTCACACCACAAACATGGCTAGCCCATAATGAAGAACTTCAACAGACTTATTTTGCAAAATATAACTGTATTTTCCTTCTAGAGTGATGCAATCCTTGAAGGAACCAGCTATCCCAATTTTAACTGCTACAGAGTACAATAATCAATCTATGACTACTTTTTCATAGCAGACTATATAACTACATGACAGTGTTCTTGGATATCTGATCAATGCTGTAGTGAAGCTAATTATTAGTCCATCCTTGTTTAAAAGAGCTGTAAGTACACTGACCAGCTAATTTATTAATTAGAATGGGACACCAATGAAAATGACTGGGGAGAAACTGATACTTATAGACCAGGCACTGTCCTAGGCAAATCAGAGTTCTGAGTCACTCTAGTAGCAAGCCAAAAGTATCCTTTGTCTTCTTATTAATTATTAAGAGACTCCTGGCCTACAGTTTTTGTTTCTTGTCTATGTCCCTGAAAGAGTAATATTACAAATAGATAAAATATTAAATAAACTCGTGGGAATATGTTTTGAGAATTCCATTAGCAACTTTCAGATATGACTCAGTTCAGGATTTCAAAAGCAGTTGATTATGAAAATGAGTTACAGTGGCAACTGCTAAACTTGGGGTTACACATCAGGACCACACACTTACCTCTCGGCTTTTAAGATGCCTATTTCCAATTTAACCTCCTGTTTACTACTCATACAGAACTGCAGCAGTCACAATTCCTTAGTCCCATTCATGTACCCTTTTATGGGGTGAGGGGCACTGGGGTTTGAACTCAGGGCCTCATGCAATGGGAGGCAGGCACTCTACCACTTGAGCCACTCTTCTAGTCTCTACCAGTCCTTTTTTGTGTTGGTGTTTTTCAAGATAGGGTCTTGCGAACTATTTGCCCATGCTGGCCTCAACCCATGATCCTCTTGATCTCTGCCTCTCAAGTAGATAGGATTATAGGCTTGAGCCACCGGTGCCTAGCCTGTTTTGTCTATTTTTCTATCACTTTTATATTCCTTATCATAAGTCTTAAAAAATTGGCACTTCTTCCCACCAGTGATCAAAGCCATACAAACCTCTGTCAGTTGCTTCAGTTGGACTTTATTTGTATTTAATTCTTCTGATAGGTCATTCTTTTTCACATGTAGTTCACAGATTTCTTTTCTCAATGGATTCACTAGTTCATAGAACCGAACCTTAAAAAAAAAAAAATCAAGTTAATAAGCAGTCTTGAGATACAAATTGCAATTCAAGTTTGCCAATTTGCGGTATGTTGGCTAGTCCTTATCCACGCTTGTACTTTCTGCGATTTAAGTTACTCTCAGTTAACTGTTGTCTGAAAATTTTAAATGGAAAATTCCAGAAATAAAAAATTCGTAAGTTTTAAGTGCTTTTTATTAAGGTATACTGTCATAATTGTTTGATTTTATCATTAGTTATCGTTATCAGTCTCTCTCTTTTTTTTTTGGTAGGACTAGGGTTTGAACTCAGGGTATCACTCTTGCAAAGCAGGTGCTCTACAGCTTGAGCCACACCTCCAGTCCATTTTACTCTGATTACTTTGGAGATGGGGTCTTGCAAACTTGTCTGGGCTGGTCTCAAGCCATGATCCTCCCTATCTGAGCCTCCCAAGTAGCTAGGATTACAGGCGTGAGCTAAAAGGATCCAGAGGTTATCAATCCCTTATACTGCCTAATTTATAAATTAAGCTTTATCACAAGTATGCATGTATATAAAAGAACCAGACTATACTCTGAAGAATTCAGTACTAACTAAAATTTTAGGCGGCCACTGGGCAGTGTCTTGGAATGTACTCCCAATTGATAAGTTTCATTGAGAAATCAAATTATCTGTAATAAAAGGAAATATCTACAAACTAAACTCTCTATTTTCCATGACTGCTCTCTTCTCCATACAACTTATTCCATTTTTAAGTTATTGGCTATTTTTTTCCACCAGAATGGGAGCTCTATGAAGGCAGTAATTTTTGTCTGGCTTGTACACTGGTCTATCTCTAATGCCTAAATATAAATAGTGACAATCAACCAACATTTAATGAACAATCTATTCTTTGTTTTTATCCCAGGCTCTTGGCAAAGCTTTCCCATACAGCATCACTGCAGTTTAAGGGATAATTAGGATGAATCAGGAGGCGTCTTTCATATCATTACTTCCATTCAGTTCAGATCTCTTTTCTCACTCATAATTTTTTCAGGGGTATTTGCCTGCCCTCACTTGGTAAAGTGTCCCATCTGACAAGGTACTATAAAACTAGGAAGCCATCAGTGAGTTAGAAAAGAATATTTACAGATTATTTACTATATAGGCATAAAATCTGAAATTCCTTAAACATATATATGATATCTGCTAAGAGGGAAAGTCTAAGGCTGGCCTTTAGCTTGACATACTTAATCTACAAATAATTATTTTCTTAAAATAATGTTGTCTATGAAGACAAAAGATGAAAAAATAAGAAATAAGAAAGCAAAAATGTGTACAACTGCCACCAGTAGAATACTTTATATTGACTATGGATAAAGCCTCAATGACATAACTTGAAATATTTGTTTAGGACAGTATACTTTGGGCAGAAAAACTATAATTGATGCATTTGAAATAAAAAAGATGGACAAAAGGTAACACTGCATTTCATTTGAAATCGCTGATCTAGAAACCTTCATCCATCAAGAACCAAGAACATCAACTCCTACCATAGCAAAGACAGTGGACTAAGCACTGTGCTAAGCATTTTACATACATATTCATAGTGAATCCTTGCATCTACCCAAACAGAAAATGTGGGGGAAAAAATCAAGCAAGCCTCAAGCAGTTCTCAATTTGTACTTTGGGGACTCCTGGCCCCTGTCCACTCTGCTACTTTGAGACTCTTCCAGATAATTCACAAGATGAAATCTATTTTCCTAAAAATATTAGGATTTACTTTTTCTTATTTCACTCTCATTCTCTCACATGTTTATAATCCATGATGGATATTAATGCCAATGAAATGTTAACCTGTAGGTTTTTTGTTGGTCTTCCTTTTTTTTTTTTTAAGATGGGGTCTTGCTAAATTGCCCAGTCTATTCACCTCAAACTCCTGGACTCAAGGCCTCCTCCTGCCCCAGCCTTTCAAATAGCTAGGACTCCAGGGTTATATCATCACATCCAGCTCTTCTTGTATTTAAAAAGAAAATTCTCAGTTTTAATTTCTAATATGGCAAATCTATACCTAATAGATATACCCATCCAAACAATAGCTCTTTGGGGGTCATCAATAATTTTTGGACTCAGAAGGGATGCTGACACCACTTAATTTGAGGTCACTGCCATAGATTAATCCCAAGCGTAGCTCTGTATAACCAACACACTGCAGTTTAGATGCTGAACTAAGCCACCATCACAAGGCCCACCCTTTTACAAGCACACCAACCCTGCCCTCCCTACTACTTGTAAGAAATCTCAGGCCACAACTAATCTGTGGTTCATCTTTGTAGTTTCCCATTTTTGTTTCTATGGACTATGTGGTTTATAACTTCACAGTCCTATTTATTTTCTGACTTTGAAGATCAATGGCCAGGACCCTTTAAAATTTGGGGATCTGAACTCACCATCTTCAGATCAGGGTCAAAAAATGACTTATCATTTGCTACATAAATGGCAAATTTTAGTTTGAAAATACATGGAGCTTTTTTTTTTAAATGATCCTAGACACTTACAGATACATATTCAGGAATAGAAAGCTGATCTTCAGGAAAAGCTTTTAGTTTCATATATTGCTCTTCTGTCAACTCAAAGTCACGCAGGTTTCGACGAACATCTCCAGCTTTCTCTCTTAGCTGATGATTTGTCTCTTCTAGCTGTTTCTGTCTCAATAAAATGGTTTCCATTTCTTGTTTCACTAGTTCTTGATATTTTCTATATTAAGAGAGAATTTATGGCAAGCTTTAAAAAAATCATTGAGATTTAATTTTCTTAAGGTTTTCCATTTATAGTAACATAAAATGAGGAAATGTGGAGTCCAATAGTATTCCTGGCTCCTGCTGAATGCTTATTTACTTAACTAGTTAAAAATGAAATAACAATTACATGCAAATTAGTAAATGTGTAGTAACATAAATTATTAGAGAACTTATATCCTTAAACAATAATTTAAAAAATTCAAATTATAAAATTATACATTTCCTTTGCTTAAGTTTTTAAGTGTTATACATCTGCTTTAGACCCTACTTATTGAAGTAATTTTAATTTCTCTTTCATCATCGTTCTTCAAGGGAACAAACAGTTCTTTAAGATGGAAGTACTGAAACACCATAATGTATTCATTCAACTAATAAGATTAATCTACACATACTCATCATTCTTAAAGAATATATATAGCAGACATTGTTACTACTAGTTGCCTACCCAAAGATTTTAAGCAGGAAATAACAATCTTATCTCCTCTCCTTACTACACTACTTCCATTCATAGACAAACATGCTGCTGTTTTTATTTTTAAGCAAATGAATAAATAAAAATACAACTATTAACCCCACTTCACTTTTCCATTTGTTTAATATCTTGTGGAGCAAAACTGCTCAAAAGTTGTCTATACTCAGTGGCTAATAATGAATTCTTAGTTCTTCTCATGGCACTTGATATATTTATCTCTTTCCTTGATATGCTTTCTTCACCTGGCCTTCAAGACACCACCTCTCTTCACTTTTCCATTTTACTCTAGCATATTCTCAGTCTCCTTTGTCTTGACGTTGAAGCACTCGATCCCTTTCTCTGTCTATATTCACCCACTTAGCAATTCATCCAGCCTCACAATAAATACTGGACACATTCTAGTGACTCTCAGAGTTGTACCTCCAGACCAAGCTTTTCATGTACCTTCACATGGATTTGTAAAGCATCCCAACTTGGACTCCTGCTCTTCACTCACAAACTTACTTAATTGTGGCTTCTTCTTGGTTGACAGCCATTCTATCTTTTTTATAAACTCAGGCCAAAAATGTTCATGTACATTGACACTTCTTTTTCTCTTAAACCCCACATCTAATCCATCAGGACATCTGGTCAGTTCTACCTTCAAAATACATAAAGAACCCAATCATGTTTTACAACCATCAGCAATCAATAGCAGCACCACAAAAGCCGCCTAACCACCCTCTTAACTGAATTATTCAGTCTGAAAAAAGGTCTAACAAAGTGCTGTCCCCACAGTATCAGCATAACCTGGCAGAAACTCTCAGCACCCACCCCAAGTCAGAATCTCTGGGGTCTGGATCTAATTATCTTTTTAAACAAGCCCTCCAGATGTTATGATGCATGTTAAGGTTTGAGATCCATGATCTAATGTGACAGGAGCAAATAACTGGTCAGATAATGTTTTTAAAAGGCAGTTTAATAGTGGAGTCTTTAAAAAAAAAGATTTTACATATTTTGTATACTGTATCATGTAAGCTATTTTCTTGGTAGGCTGGAAATGAAAATTGTAACCATCTCTGATTTAAAGTTTCCCTATTTTAGCTCATGATAACATACATAAACAAGGAATAAATTACTTTTAATTGCTAAGTAGATTTAAAAAAAAGAACTTTTCTTACTTAGCGTCCTTCTGTTGAAAAGTCAGTTGGTTATCTAATCTCAAAGTTAGGAGCTGCTTCTGGTGAAGTGCATCATTAAGTTTCTCCTCCAATTCTTCAATCTTAGTGGAGAGAATAAGGTAGTTACTGTTCAATTATCAAATTTATCATAAAGAAAAATTTCAGTTTAAAAATATCTCTAAAAGCCATATAAAATAAACAGGATAAAAGTAGAAAGAGGTTTATTTATTTTTTTGTAATGGTTGTGTCCGCAAACAGCAAAGACTGCTCAAACTATGGTTTGAAACCACTAAATCATAAATGTTTTTTGCTCAGCTATCAAGAAGGTTTTTTTTTTCCTCCCCTTAACTCACATTAACTATGAAGTTCATTGACAATGGAGATATCATGCTAGAGCCTTACCTATGCAATTATTTCCAGACTAGACTCAGCATTAATATACCAGGCCAGTTTATCTGACTACTATACGTCTTACATTTACTACTACATGGTGACACTAGAATTATCCAAAACAAAATGAATAGCTAGTGAATGTACCAAATCTCTCTAGCCCCCAAAGCGAAAAAAAAAAAAAAAAAGTCTGAGTCATGTTTGATATTCTTGCCTAGACTATTATAACAGTTTCCTCACTAGCTTCCCTGCATAAAGTTTTACCAACTTTCTCTTGTATCTTCCTTTATTGTATCTTTAAAGACAAAATTTTATTCCCCCAGTTTAAAACCTTCAGAGGATCCTCATGAACTTGGTTTTTGCTTTAGTCTATTTTGGAAACTCCTCCATTTCAACCAGGCAATTCTTGTTTGTCTTTTAAATTAGATGAATTTAATGGTCAATCCTTAACATATTCAAATAGATCCTCTTGCAAAATCAAGTTCCCCCTCCTCCTTGGATCATCCCTATCACTATGCAAGCATGCTCCATCTCCCATTAACAAAACAACAATTATTACTTTGATCACCCCAATTCTGTTTAGATACCATTTCTTTGTTTTCAGAGTGAAGTTCAACAGATTTGTTTGACTATTCTTGTCAAAGTCTGTAATGCCCAATCCAGCAGTTATTTCTGAATATTCATCTTACTTGACAGCATGGTGTGAAACAGTAAGCATTTGGTGTGAACCAGACACTGTTCTAAATGCTGGAGATACAACAGTAATACAATACAAATATGTCCTTGTCTATTAAAGGAAACAAACAAAAATCCAGCAAAGTCAGGTGTGCCTATGGATGCACCCATGCACACATATGTAAGTTATATAAAATAGAGGGGGTGAAAAAATGAGAATACTATTTTAATTTATTGTGCTTCTTAAGTATCTGTGCTCCCTCCCCCCAATTTATATTAAAACCTAATCACTAATGTAACTGGGATGGGGAGTGGGTTTTATGAATGGTGTTACCATGACTGCAATTACAACCCTTAAAAAAGAGACCTCAGAAAGCTAGGTCTCCCTTTTGCAATGTGAGGACCCAGTAAGAGTATATAGCCCAGGGTCTGGGTGTGGGAACTCATGCCTGTCATCCAGTAATTTAGTCAGCAGAGGCTAACTAGAGGAGGATCATGGTCTGGGGCCAGTCAAGGCAAAACCACAAGAGCCTATCTGAAAAATAAACTAAAGAAAAAAGGGCTACGGGTGTGGCTCAAGTAGTAGAGTTCTTGCCTAGCAAATGCAAGACTCTGAGTTCAAACCCTAGTACCTCAAAAAAAAAATAATAATAAGTATACAACTCAGAGAGGGTTAGAGCCTGACCATACTGGTACACTGATCTTAGATTTTCCAACTTTCAGAACTATGCAAAATAAATTCCTATTGTTTACATGCTATTGAGTCTGTAGTATTTTGTTCTAGCAGCTCAAATGGAATAAGACACAAAGTGACAGGTAGAAGCCTAAGACTATTGATTCATTACTCTATAACTATATTGGTTCATTAATGTGACGGGTCAAGAAAGACTCCTTTCTCAGAAAAAGAACCAATATATTAAAGGGTTTTTCTGAGGTCTGCATGAGACAACACACAAGAAGCTCTTAGAACAGTGTCAGCACAGCATAAGCACTCAATGCCAGTAATTAATAATTTTCTAAGTTCACCTAAATTATTTCTCTACTTCAATAGGACCTTGAGATTCTGAATATCTTATTTTCTAGTAAGGCACCGTCAAGAAATGTTTTTTGAGCTGAGGGTATAGCTCAGTGGTAGAATGTTTACCTAACATGCACAAGGTCCTAAATTCAATTTCCGAACAAAAAAACCATTTTTCTCTAGTGGCAAGACACTGAAGTATGGTAGTATAAGCAGGCAAGAGCAAAAGCAGAAGACTTAGTTAACAAGAGAAAGTTATAAACGAAACAATGAAATGGGTAGGTGGGGGTAGGAAGAACTGAGACCAAGAACAAACAAAAGTGGAGGAGTTGCCATTAGAAAGAAAAGATTTTCTCCTTTGACTTTCGGGGTAAGATGGTAGATTCGAAGCTTCCTAAGTGTGACTCTGTGAATGAGAAGAGTTAGGTTAACAAAGGACAGACTATATAAGAGAAGAGAAGAAGGGAAGAACACAAGGAATCACAAAAGAGAGGACAGGACAGCTGAGAAGCTCATAAATCAGAAATGGTACACAGACTAAGGTAGGCAACAGCCTACAGTTCCAACCCAGGCAGGATCCCCAGGGGGGAGGGGAAGCCAAAGCTAAAACCACAAGGTAAGTCAAACAGCCCTGGTGAAACAGAGAGGTAGCTCTAGCCACAGGATTAGTCCAAAGTTCTGGCAAGCCGTTAATTCAGTATGGGGATTTGGGGTGACAGTGACTCCTAAGTGACAGGCTAGCATTCAAGAAATCTATTTTGTCACTCCCTACACCTCAGAGAGCACCATAGTGAGAAAGTGCCTATTGTTTGAGATTGGACTATTCTGGGGATCTGAAAACAATGGGGGTAGGGGGACAGCCAGGAGAGGCAATTGTGGAGAGGGGAAAGGCTGGACATGGACCCACTGAGAAGTTTAGGCAGCAGGGAGCTTGGACTATAAAGAGCACTGTGGCCAATGATGCAGCTCTCCTTGGCAAGGAGTGAGCCCCATCACCTGGGATCACAGCATACACTAACAGCTCCCAGCTTCTGGCCCGCAGATAGAGTGGCCTCCAGTGCTGCCTCCTGGTTTGCTGCCAGGCAGGTCTGAGAAATCAATGCTCAGGTCCATGTGATTGCTCCATTTCCTTTGCCCCTCCCTCCTACAAGATGGTTCACTATTGGGCATGATCTGAAAGCACTACGACTGGCAGGCAAAGTGCTGGGTTCCCTCAGTCTCTCCCTTATCCTCCCTCCCTTTCCCCTAGTGCATATCTCAGTGCTCTGTTTGCTTTCCCCATTCTCCAACACACCTGGGGGATACCCCTAGGCTTGGACACTTGCCATTCATAGGTACATAAACTGGGGAGCCTGTGGAGTGAGGGGAATGTGCCCAACAGACAGCCTGCAAAGCTCTTTGGGGCTAGCAGCAGCAATGGGTACACAATGAAGGGAAGCTTCTAAACTGAATATATCCTCAAGCTAACAACTCACCCTGACAAGCCCAGCTCTCAGTCCACATACTGCAGCAGTCAAAATAGTGTTATTGCTGTTACTGGTTTGTTTTCTCCTTTCTCAACAGTATTGGGAATTGAGTCCCCAAGAAAAGGCTGATCACTAATAAGACCTCTGAATAAAACTGGAAGAGATATCCATCCCAACAAATTGCAACTTAGAAACACAAGAAATATGGAAAAGTAAGTTAACATGACTCTTCCAAAAGTTCACAATTCTTCAAAATCCAAAGATATTAAGATGACTGATAAATAAGAATGAAGAGATATCCATCCCAACAAATTGCAACTTAGAAACACAAGAAATATGGAAAAGTAAGTTAACATGACTCTTCCAAAAGTTCACAATTCTTCAAAATCCAAAGATATTAAAAAGACTGATAAATAAGAATGATGGAGGGGGTGAATTCAACTATGATATATTGTAAGAACTCTTATAAATGCCACAATGTACCCCCAGCACAGCAATAAAAATAAAATAAGGTAAAATAAGAAGACTGAAATGCCAAAAAGTATAAAAGTCTGGTTTTAAAAATTATTAATCACCATAAAGGATTTGAATAAACAGATGAATGAAGTAAACAAGTTATTTCAGGAACTGGACAAGAAAGTCAACAACTTGAATGAGAAATTCATCACAGAAGTAGAGAAAACAAAACAAACAAACATCCCTACTCCCCAAAAAACCCTGGAATATGAAAAGTTCAGTAAGTCAAAGAAGAAACTCAATGGGAAGCATCACCAATAGACTAGAGCCGCCAGAGGAAAGACTATCAGGGACTATAGAAGTGGTTGAGGAATGAGTACATTTAGATTGCAGGAAAAAATAAGCAATCATGGCCACAACATCCAAGACCTCTGCCACAGATTAAAGAGACCAAACTTACAAATACACACAGCATAGAAATCTCTCTCAATGAAATCACAGCAGAAAATTTCCCAAATAAAGGGGAAGAAATGGACATCCAATAACATGAGGTATTTGTAATCCCAAGTAGACAGGATTAGAAAAGACCCTGTCTAAGGCATATTACAGTTAAAATGCCAAGAGTATGTAACAACAACAACAATAAAACCCAAAACACTGAAACCTATAAGAGAAGGGTCAAGTTACTTACAAACTAAATTTATCAGAATAGCAGACCTTTTAGTAGAAAACCTAAAGGCAAGGAGAACATAGACCAATGTACCAGGCCCTGAAACAAAGTAACTATCAACCAAGACTTCTAGATCCAGAAAAGTTATCATTTAAAACAGAAGAAATAAAAGTCTTTCCATGATTAAGCACAAACTAAAACAATTCATGGCCATTAATCCAGTATTGTAGAAACTTAAGGAAGAAGGATATACAAAAGCATGAGAGCTCAGTAAAGAATAAATCTCATTAGAATAGATAAGCAAATCACTTGTAGGAAGAATCAAACATTAACTGAGCAAACAAGAAAACCTCTAATATTAAGAAGGAAGAAGTTAGTATACATCTTAAAATAATAATCCTAAGTGTAAATGGACTTAACTCTCCAATTAAAAGATGCAGACTGACTGAATGGATTAAAAACAAGATCCAACTATTTTCTGTTTATAAGAAACTCACTTCATTGGCAAACTCACATATAGACTCAAAGTGAAAGGATGGAAAATGATATTATAAGAAAATGGAACCCCAAAACAAGCAATTGTAGCTATATTCATATCTGACAAAGTGGACTTAAAGCAAAAAGTAGTAAGAAGGAATAAAGAAGGTCAATACATTTTAATTAAGGAAATAATCCATTAAGAAGATCTAACATAAATACATATGTGCTGAATGTTGGTGCACTCAATTTCAGACAACAAACACTACCAGACTACTGAACAGATAAGCTACAATAATAGTAGATGACTTCAATACCCAATAACATTAATAGATTGTTCAGAAAAAAAAATTAACAAAGAAACCTTAGAGTTATTAAATTCCACCACAGATATAATGGATTTAACAGGTATCTACAGAATACTGCATCTAGTAGCTACGGAATAGACATTCCCATAGAAATTTCTCCAAAATACTTTATAGGCCATAAAGAAAATATTAACGAATAAGAAAACTGAAACAATTTCTTATACATTTTCAGATCATAATAGAATGAAACTAGAAATCAATAGCATGAGAAGCAACAGGAAATACACAAACATATGGAGATTGATCAATACATTTTTGAATGATCAACAAGTCATTAAAGAAATTGGAGTGGAAATTTAAAAATTCCTAGACTAAAATGAAAATACAACTTACCAGAACCTTTGGGGTACAGCAAAGGCAGTTCTAAGAGTGAAATTTATAGCTATGAATGTCTGCCTTAAAAAAACATCAGAGATATTTCGAATAAACTAATGGTGCACTTGAAGCTCTTAGAAAAACAAGAACAAGCCAAACACACAATTAGTAGATGGGGTGGGGAAAAAAAACCCATAAAGATTAGGGCAGAAATTAATTAAACGGAGAGTAATAGAACAGTACAAAGGATCAATGAAACAAAGAGTTGACTCTTTAAAAACATAAAGATTGATAAACCCTCAGCCAAACTACCTAAAAGAAAGAGAGAAGGCCCAAATTAACAAAATTAGAGATGAAAAAAGGGATGTTACAGTAGACATCACTGAAAGCCAGTGGAGCATTAACTATTTTGAAACTTATATTTCAAGAAATTGGAAAATCTAGAAGGATAAATTTCAAGATACAGATGACATACCAAAATTAAACCAAGAGGAGAAAAGGGGAAGGAACACTTCCAAATTCAGCCAATTGTATAGCCTAATACCAAAAGCAGATAAGAACACAACAACAAAAAAATCCTATAGGCCAATTTCCCTGATAAACATAGAGGCAAAAATTCCCAATAAAATACTTATAAACTGAATTAGAAAACACATTAAAAAGATCACACAGTATGATCAAGCTGATTTCATTCCAAGGATACAGGATGGTTCAAAATATCCAAATCAATAAACATAATACAGGATATAAATAGAATCAAGGACAAAAATCACAGAATCATCTAAATAGAAGCAGAAAAAACCTTTGATAAACTTCAGCAACCCCTCATGTAAAAACCTTGAACAAATTAGAAACACAAGCATCATATTTCAATATCATAAAATTATATATGACAAATCTATAGCCAACATTATATTGTATGGCAAAAAATTGAAACCATTCCCTTTAAAATCAAGAACTGGACCAGAGTGTTCACTCTGCACTCTTCTTCAACAGAGTGCACAAATGCTTAGCCAGAGCAATAAGGCAAGAGAAAGAAAGGGATACAAAAAGAAAAGAAGTCAAACCATTCCTGTTTATATGATCTGATATTTAAGACCTTAAAGACTTCATCAGAAAACTCTCAGATCTGCTAATTACTTTTAACAAATTGGCAAGATAAAAAAATCAACATAAAAATTAGTAGCTTCTTTATAAAAGAATAAAATCATGCTGAGAAAGAAATCAGGAAATAAACTCAATAGTAGTTTAAAAAAATACCTAGGAATAAGTGTAACTGAGAAGGTGAAAAGAACTCTACAATGAAAATGATAAAGCACTGAAGAAAGAAATTGAAGAGGACATCAGAAGGAAAGATCTTCCATGGTTAGAGATCTGCAGAATTAGTATTGTGAAAATGGCTGTACTATACTACACAAACGTATGATCCCCATTAAAACTCCAATGACATTCTTTACAGAAACAGAAGATAGAATCCAAAGATTCATATGGAAGCACAAAAGACCCTCAATAACCAAAGCAATCTGAGCAAAAAGAGTAATGTTGAAGGTATCATAATTCCAGATTTTAAATTATACTTCAGAGCCATAGTAACAACAGCAGGGTAATAGCACAAAAGCAGACTCAAAGACCAGAATGGAAGACCCAGAAGTAAACCCATACATTGGAGAATAGACAGCCTTCTAGTTGGAAATAGTGGCACATGTCTGTAATCACACTCAGGAGGAGCAGGCAGAAAAATTTCAAGTTCGAAGCCAGCCTGAGAAAGCAAAATTACCAAGTCCCTATCTCAAAAACAAACAAAAAGACCTGGGGGCATGGTTCAGGTTGTAGAGCATTTGAGTGGGAGACTTTGGATGTAATCCTCAGTACTGAGTGTTTCTCAGTTGGTGTTGAGAAAACTGGATACACACATGTAGAACACTGAACTAGAACCCCTATCTCTCATGTTGTACAAAAACCACTTCAAAATGGATCAAAATCTTAATGTAAGATCTGAAACTTTGAAACTACTATGGGAAAATGCTTCATGGTATAGGCAGTGCCTTTTTGCATAGGACTCCAGTATGCCAGGAAATGACAACAAGAATTGATAATTGGTATTGCATCAAATTAAAAAGCTTTTGCATAGCATAGAAAAGGAAATAACTACCAAAGTGAAGAGACAGCCTACAGAATGAGAAAGAATCTTTGCCAGGTGATGGGGGATTAATATCCAAAATATGTAAGGAATTCAAAAATTAAATACCAAAAGAACAAATAATCCAATCAGTTTATGAGTAAGCAAGTAAACAGTTCTCAAGAGAAGTACAAATGACCAATAAGTACATGAGAAAATGTTCAACAGCCTTAGCCAGTGGGGAAATGTAAATGGAAAATATGTTGAGATTCCACTCTACCCTAGTCAGAATGGCTATCATCAAGAAAACAAACAACAAATGCTGGTGAGGATTTGTGGAGAAAGGATACACTGATATACTGCTGATGGGATGGAAAATTATTCCAGCCACGATGGAAATTAGTATGGAGTTTCCTCAAAAAACTAAAAATAGAGCTACCAGTCGGCATACCTCACATCCATATTTATTGCAATACAATTTACAATAGTCAAGTTATGGAAACGGCCAAGGTGCTTATAATGGATGATAAAGAAAATGTGGTATATAAACAAAATGGAGCTTTACTCAACTATAAAGAAGGAAATTATATTATTTGTGGCAAAATGGATGGAACTGGAGATCATCATATTAAGTGCATCATATTAAGTTAGATTCAAAAGACAAATATTGTATGTTTTCTTTTCTGTATGGAATCTAGATATTTAAAAAAAATATGAAAATAGAAGGAAGGAGTATTTGGGAAGAGGAAAGGGACCAGTTAGAAGTAGATTAAGAGAAGGTACTACAGAGGTGACTATGATCAAACTACATTATATACATGTATGAAAATGTCATAATGAAACTCATTAAGAGACCTTATCTCAAAAAAAACCTGTCACAAAAAAAGGCTGGTGGAGTGGATCAAGGTGTAGGTCTTGACTTAAAACCCCAGCAATGCAAAAAAGAAGAACTATCTTCTTAAAATACTGTATCTTTTTAAGGGCAGTGAAAACTTTACTGAGTCTTCCATAAACTACTTTGTAATTGTAAATAAGCATAAGGCAGTAAAATAAGGACCAGTACATCTCTATTTGCATGACAAACACCACTTGCTAAAGACTATGGTGCCCATCCTAATATAACATAGTAACAAGCAAATGGAAAGTAACTAAAGAAATCAAATCTCTAGGGCAAAGACAATACAGATCCAATAATATAATTACAATCTGGATTCTCCCTATCAAACTAGTCAGTCCTAATTTGATCAGTAAATCAGAAAACTTGGCTAGAAATTTCACCTAAAAAAAACAAGGCTGGCAGAGTGGCTCACGTGGTAGAGTGCCTCCTAGCAGTCCTAAGGCCCCAGTACTGAAAGAAAAAAAAAATTCTTGCTCACATTAAATCACTCTGCCTTTCAATACTCAGTATGAAAAGGCTGTCCTGGACAAGGAATATTAAGAGTATTGGTTTAAGTTTAGATAACGCATATAAATTTCTCATTTATCTGCAATTTAAAGACAATAAAGCACGCAAATAGTAAAATTTACAACTGATCTTACCTTTGTAAGATAATCCATTTTCAAATTGTCAATCATCATATTTTTCTGGGATAGCTCTATTTTCAGTAGTTGAATATTATGAAGTAATTCTTTTCGTTCAATTATCTGCCTGGTGATTTTGACTTTACCCTCTCGATCTTCTGGTGAGGAAATATCATCTGTATGAATCGTTGTTTCTAAACTAATATCTTCAGATTCCAAAGAACTAGAAATGTTCACTTTTTTTGACTCCTTAGGAATTTTTCGAGACATTTTTTATTATTATGGGTCAATTTTCTTTTCTAATTCAATTTTCTGTAGATTAAAAAAAAACATTAATTCAAACATACCGAAACAATAACAGAAAGCATAGAGTGTATTAATGAGGTACTACAGATTCCCTAAATAGTTAAGCAATTTGGTGGACCCCAAATCTAAGCATGATTACTATAGTTAAATTACTGCTCATATCAAGCGATTCACTAAATCCTACTATGAACTCAGCCCTCTTACGAATTTAAATTTAAAAATTCCTGGACAGGAATCTTATCTAGAGGAAACAAAGAACTGTACATGACAAAGATAAAGGCCATTAGTACCCAAGAATGCACCTAATAAAGGTAAATGACTTCTGGTTTGGTCAAGGTAAGATTGCACAGGGGTGGGTTTTAAAAATGTTGTGGGTTTTGAACAGGCGTAGTAAAAAGAGGAAACCATGCAGCTAGGAAGGTTTGTATAGAGGGGGAAGCCATTGTAGCTGTAGCAAATCGTGAATCTGAAGTGTTCACCGCCCCCACCCCCAAACAGTCTGAAAGCATCTTAAATGTCAGAATGTGTTCGAATTTTATTCTATCGGCAATGAAGCACACTGAAGATTTTAAAAATAGGTTATCACTGACACAAAAACAGGAAGACTAGCTAGAAGGAAAACAAGCGGGAGAAAGAGAAAGAAACCCGAATATTCTAAATACAATTCAGAATTATTTCACAAAAAATGTTTGAAACACCCTTGTTTATATACTACCCGACATGAAAATTACTCATGGTATGTTGCATTTCAGTTTTTCCAAATGGAACGGTTAGGAAAGAGGTATGTGGAGGAGAAAGAGAACTACAGTAAGTTCGGCCTTAAAAAAAGTGAAATCAAAGACAAATCCTCCCCTAGATTACAAAGGACCAGAGAGTGGGGCTTCCACACGTCTGGGGTGAAATCTAAGCCCCAAACTTGGCTGCACCAGAGCATTCTTTGCCCCGCGCGGGAAAGAAAGGGAGGCAGATGGCTGCAAGCTACCCCAAGAGTTTCAACTGCTCCACATCCAAGGCACGACCAACCCCACCTCTGCCACTTCGGGGGACCCAAAGCGTCTCCAGTCTGCAGCTCAGGTGGCAGCCACACAACAAGGAATCTCTGCGACCCGGACCGTTAGCAGCGGTCACCAAGACAACCATCTCCGCGCACCCAGGAAGCAGGAAGAAGCGGCGGCGTGCACGTGCCCACGCCGGAACCCGGCCAACCAGGATCCTCGGTGGATCGGGCAGCAATGCAGGCTGGGAGCTCGAGTCCAGGGACCAGTCCCGCCCACAGAGGCCAGCCCCGCCCACGCCGTGGGCGGGAACGCAGTTTGTCCCTCCCCGCGCTTCGCTCTCGTCCAATCTTCGTGGCGATCAGAGGGCCAACTACCGTCCCGCTGAGTAAGTTCTCGCGAGAGTTGTGTGCTAATACTCTGGAGCGGGAAGAAGCGAACCTCGGGGTGAGGTTTTGTTGTGTGACAGATCTCCTGCGTTGACTCGGGTTTTGCCGGAGGAGTTCTGCGGCTGTCGGGGTTCTAGGCCGCGAGGCAAGATGCTCAAGTCCAAGACGTTCTTAAAGAAGACCCGCGCGGGCGGCGTGATGAAGATCGTGCGCGAGCATTACCTGCGGGATGACATAGGCTGCGGGGCGCCCGGGTGCGCGGCGTGTGGCCGGGCGCACGGTGGGCCGGCTCTGGAGCCGCAGCCCCAGGACCCCGCGAGCAGCCTCTGGCCGCGGCCGCACTACCTGATGCCGGACACCAACGTGTTACTGCACCAGGTTCGTGAGTGAAACGCCAGAATGCGGCCCGGCGGGGACCAGGCATGATAGGGAAACTGAGGTCGGGGAGAGGCGGCTCCTGGGCAGCATCACATCCTGAGGGGACGCAAGCCTCGAGGGGATCCACGCTTCCTGGTTCCCAGGCTCATGTTCTTTTTCTTTTTTCTTTTTTACGCTGTTTTTTTTTTTTTTTTGGTTTTGTTCTTACTGTTTTTGGAATCTTACTGTTAGACACTTTTTCTAACTCCTGGTGTCTCTTCTACCTTAGATTATAAATGCCTGGAAGCTGGGGACCTGGGCTTCTGTGTCCTCCAGATTGCGACCCACAGGCATCTTGAAAGTGCCTACGAACAAAACGTATGTGGGCCACGTATCTCTTTATTAATACCCGTAATTCTACCAAGCTACCCATCCCGCCCCCCTCGCTGTGGTACTGGGATTTGGACTCGGGGCTTAGCTCTTGTAAAGCAGGTGCTCCACCATTTGAGCTATGACTCCAGACCATTTTGCTCTTGTTATTTTGGAGCTGAGGGTGTCACGAACTGTTTCCTCGGACTGGCCTGGAATCTCAGTCCTCCCCATCTCAGCCTCCCAAGCAGTGAGGATTACAGGAGTGAGCCACCTGTCCTGCCTTCTAGGAAGTTTTGAGATTGGTCTGTGTAGGGGTGCTCTTCTGCAGTGGGCCTGAAGGGTTGGGTGATTTTCATCACTTTTACTACAGCATAATAACTGAGTAATGTGTGGTCAGTGTTTTTAAACCGTGCCAAGATTGAATGTTTGACAGAAACAATCTATAAATTAATATAGGAAAAACTTATTTTTTTTTTTTAAGATTGATGTTCTTGAGGACCCTGCCATCAGGAATGTTATTGTGCTACAAACAGTCCTCCAAGAAGTGCGAAACCGGAGTGCCCCCATATATAAACGAATCCGGGATGTGACCAGCAACCAGGACAAGCATTTCTATACATTCACTAATGAGCACCACAGGTAAGATAAAAATGAGGTGGTGTCACAGGACCATAGAATAGCTGAATTCCAGAGGAGTCCTGGGAGTAATTTGTGACTTTGTCATACATGAACACTAGTGGCATATGCTGTTTCCTTCTCACACACCTGTAAAGATAAGTGGATCTCATTTTCATGGTCACATGGGCAGTGGTGAAGTCAGGCCTGGAACCAAGGGCTCCTGGCTCTTAGGCTGTAATAGTTTCTTTTTATTTCCCAAGTACTCATTTTAAGTTGGTTTTACAGGAATTTATGAATAAAGTCTTGGAAGATGAGATTGTGTAGAACTATATGACGTGAATAATCAACATATAGTAATAAAAGATGAATTTATGAAGAAGAGATTAAAAATACAAAGCTTATTTATTCTCAGTGGGATTTAAAAACTTAAACAAATACCTCATAAACAATTACAATGAAACTTTGGTTTAAAAACAGAATTCTTAGGTTTCAGGTTCAAGGTCTTTGCATGAACTTAACTGTGTGATCTTAGAAATATAAAATTGCCTACTTATGGTTATTAAGTATGTATTGATGGCTGTCTGTGATACTTTTAGGAGGCTTAACATTGACATTATTGAGTTTGAACTGGGTAATGTTTTATTGTGGGAAGCCTGTCTTAAATTTGTAGGATGTTTAGCAGCTTCCCCAGCCTCTGCCCACTAGGTGCCAGTAACAGTCCCCATGCTACCACCACTACTGGCTACTAACAACTCAAAATGTCTCCAGGTGTTGTCAAGTATCTCCTGAGTGGACAAATTTAACCCCCAACTGAGAGCTGGGGATTCAACTACAGATTCTGATACTGAAATCCCATCAGATTATGCAAATATAAAAAATCTTATTGCTCTGATTTCTCTTCTTTATTCTTACATTCCCCAAATTAAGTACTGATGTTATAAAGCACAAAAGTAATGGACTCATAGACTTCTTATTCCTTATACTTTCTTCATATTCAGAAATAGACTAGGTTTTTTTGATTGTGTTCTTCAGATTCCTAATCAGGGTTTAGCAATTTCATCAGCTCAAATTCAAGTAGGCCTTCCCCATACCCTGATTGTTGGTATGGCACTTAGGATACTAGGCAAATCTCATCTAAGAACTCAGGGCCTTGCACTTACTGGGTGGGTGCTCTACTGCTTGAGCCACACCTCCAGCCCTCATTTAAGATTTTGTTACTTACTCATGTTAAAACTAAATTCAGATTTATGAGCGTGTATTTCCCTGATAAGTTTGAAGTGTTAGCAGTTACAGTTAATGGTGGGAAATAAAATGCTATAAACTTTTAATGTAAAATCCTAAATTCTAAAACTGAATCTATTATTAATCTATTAAACTAGATATAATCTATTAAACTAGATAGAAGTAAACAATCAAATTTTATAAACTAGATGAATTTTGTTGTGCTTTAATTTGGTTGTGAAGAACAGATTTAACAAAATCAGTATGTGCTTACATATTTGAAAGTCATGCAGCCATGAAGAAGAACGAAATGTTATCATTCGCTGGTAAATGGATGGAGTTGGAGAACATCATTCTGAGTGAGGTTAGCCTGGCTCAAAAGACCAAAAATCGTATGTTCTCCCTCATATGTGGACATTAGATCAAGGGCAAACACAACAAGGGGATTGGACTATGAGCACATGATAAAAGCGAGAGCACACAAGGGAGGGGTGAGGATAGGTAAGACACCTAAAAAACTAGCTAGCATTTGTTGCCCTTAACGCAGAGAACTAAAGCAGATACCTTAAAGCAACTGAGGCCAATAGGAAAGGGGACAGGAACTAGAAAAAGGTTAGATCAAAAAGAATTAACCTAGAAGGTAACACCCACACACAGGAAATCAATGTGAGTCAATGCCCTGTATAGCTATCCTTATCTCAACCAGCAAAACCCCTTGTTCCTTCCTATTATTGCTTATACTCTCTCTACAACAAAATTAGAGATAAGGGCAAAATAGTTTCTGCTGGGTATTGAGGGGGGGAGCGGGAGGGGGCGGAGTGGGTGGTAAGGGAGGGGGTGGGGGCAGGGGGGAGAAATGAACCAAGCCTTGTATGCACATATGAATAATAAAAGAAAAATGAAAAAAAAAAAAAAAAAAACAAAACAAAATAAATGGTTGTTTAGCTGAATTAAAAAAAACAAAATCAGTATGTGCTTACATATTTGAAAGTTCACAGTGGAAAGACTTTATTGTGTACCATGTAAAATTTGCATGAATTATGTATTGATTGACCATGGAATCACATGATCATGAATCATCTAATTAAACTATTTGTAGCATTTATGAATTGCTGTTAATCTAGTTAGGGGCTAGCGGAGTGGCTCAGGTAATAAATTGCCTGACTAGCAAGCATGAGGCCTCAAGTTCAGACCCCAGTACTATAAACAACAACAACAAACAAACAAAAAACCCAAAAGTACAATTTGAATGAAGTCTCATTACTAGGTCTGCAAAGGTTTATTAGTTCGTGCCAGCAAACTGTTATTTAATGTACCAACCTAAAGTATAAATTCTTCAGTTTTTCTTTTCACGAAGCAAAATTATATGACTTTTTATTGTCCCATTAATAACATAATTTTCTTTTCTCCCAAGCAAATTGTTGTCTTAAGAACTTAATCTGTAAGGATTCTGTTTACTTTTTCTCTCAGTGTAAATCTGTACATTCAAGTGAAATAGATACATGGTTGACTTTTTAGTTTAATGGTTGTCTAGCATTTATGTCCCAAGATTTTTATGTATTCTTGCTTGTGTTGATTTTTCATTTTTTTCCTTTTCTTTACATTTTAGGGAAACCTACGTAGAGCAAGAACAGGGAGAAAATGCTAATGACAGGAATGATAGAGCTATTCGAGTAGCAGCAAAATGGTACAATGAACATTTGAAGAAAATGTCAGCAGAAAACCAGCTGCAGGTTATCTTTATAACAAACGACAGGAAAAACAAAGAGAAAGCTGTAGAAGAAGGAATACCAGCTTTCACATGTAGGTCTAAAAGGAGGTGTTTCTTCATGTACATAGAGAAACTGTAATCAGGCCTGTGATAAGATGTTTACTTGACTACTTCTTATTTTCATGATACTATGTAAATTTTTTTGTAAAAATTTTTGTGTTTTATAATTCTTCTGAGTTTTTAAACTAAATAAGTTGTACTCAGTGCTTATTAATTTTTCCCTTATTATTTTCACTTAACAATGAAAACTCAGCTGTGCTGAACCCACTACTTCTTAGGGATGACCACTTCAACAAATTTGTTTTTGCTTTCATGTTGTTAAAAATAATTGATAGATGTACTGTTACAAGCAAGATTATCTGTGTTATTTCATATCTAAGGAAACTAAAACACTATATTAATATGTTTCCTTATTTTTCAGGTGAAGAATATGTAAAGAGCCTGACTGCTAACCCTGAACTCATAGATCGTCTTGCTTGTTTATCTGAAGAAGGGGTATGTTTCATTTTGTTCTACTTTTAAAGCATGAAAAATCTTAAAATAGTCACTCTGGGATATGAGGCTTATATTCCCCAGGAAGCTGGAATAGTAATAGGAGTTGGATTACAAACAAGAGTGACTATAACAGGCTTATTGAAGTGCATTCCTAAATGAATTGACTTTCTAAAATAGAGTTTGAAACAGGGCAGCTATATTTGTTTGAAAAAATAAATGAAATCCACCACTGATATATGAATATGTAGTAGTTTATGAAATAAATGTCAGGCAATGCTGCCAGCATAAAGCCCAAAGAATGTGATAAGGGAGTCATCAGAAAAGGTAGAACAGAAGGGGAGGAGCTAGAAAATGAGGAACTAGAATTTGTTTTGTTTGTCAGTGATTTTTCAAATGTCTTACAAAGATCTCCCTAAAGGGCTGTTATAAAGAGAAGGTAGCAGATAGAATTTTGAGCTCCCTACCTTACATGATTGGCTAAGAGAAATAAAAGGTACAGGAGAGCCTGGGTGGGGCAGCAGGGAACAACAACCAGACATGGTATTTATTTGTAAAAACCACTTTAATGTCAGTATGAAAGACAATGCATTGTGTCATTGGCAAGATTAGAGACAGAAAAATGAGTGAAGGAGTTACAGAGCATTAATAAAATTCCTATCTCAGTTCCTGGTACATAGTTATGGTAAACGTAAATGGCAGCTATTGTGGAAAGAACATTAGGTAATAGGACATTATACATACATCCAGTCTTTACAGCATCTCTCCCATCCCTGCTTCTCTTAACCAGCTACTTTATAACGCTAAAAGGAAGTGAGAAGATAAAGGCTGGACTTGGTTTTTGGAATACAGATTTAGGCTAGCCCTTGTCTAATGTGTAACCACTAGCTGCATGTGACTGTTTAAATGTAATTCATATTTACAAATTCAGTTTATCAGTTGTATTATCCATCTTGCAGCTGCTCAAGAGAAACTTGTGACTAGTAGCTACTATGTTGGATATCACAAAAAGAATATTCTCTTTGCCACCTAAAGTAGTTTTGGATAGCCCTGGCCTAGCGGAAACACTGTGCTATAGTTTCTTAAATCCATAGAGTTGTATATTCCATAATGTGGATTTTTTTTTAATTGCCTGGTACTAATGATAGTTGTACATTGAATGAACAGATTTCCTAACTGCATCTTTTGCTTTATTTGTAGAATGAAATAGAAAGTGGGAAAATAATATTTTCAGAGCATCTTCCCTTAAGTAAGCTACAACAAGGCATAAAATCTGGTTCATACCTTCAAGGAACATTTAGAGCCAGCAGGGAGAATTACTTAGAAGCTACAGTGTGGGTTCATGGAGACACTGAAGAAAATAAAGAGGCAAGTGTGTAAATTCCTTATACACTAAAATACCTCATGTTCATTATCTTCATTAGTAAATATTTAATATTTTGTATGAGAATTTAAATTTGCCTTATCTTCACAGTTTGAAGAAAGTCATAAATACTATTAGAATTAACCACTTTTTTTTAAGGAAATTCATATTGAAAAAAAAATTTCTGTTCTTATTTTTTTGAGAATAAATATCTAGTTCATCAAACACCATGAGATACTCCTATTTTATGTATTATGACTAGTTATGATAATGCTGTTTGCATAACATAGAGGGCTTTACACACTTTATAATAATTTAGTAACTTTTTTGAGGGCTCACTATTTGCCAGTTGCTCTACTAACTCTGCACTCTGTATGCAGCATTCATTTAGTCTTTGACTCCACCTATCAAAGTATTATATTTTTCACTTTTATCTACCAAGATCTTGAGATTTAGAGAGTGTAAATAATTTTCCAAGTTGCTTGATGCCATCCCAAGTTATAGTGGAGCCATGAACACAACCTATATTTTCTGATCTATATGTTTTCTGCTTTAAAAATTTAAAGGTATGGAACAAAGGAACACTTTAGAAAAGGAAAATATAAAGAAAAGTAGAAATATTTGAGTATACATAAACTTGTGTTAGCTAACCTTCCCATTATTGCCATTCAAAATACTCAAACACATGCCATTTGTTGTTTTAAGTAGATAATCTTACAAGGACTTAAACATTTAAACCGAGCCATTCATGAAGACATTGTGGCTGTAGAGCTTCTCCCCAGGAGTCAGTGGGTAGCACCATCTTCTGTGGTTTTACATGATGAAGGTCAAAATGAAGATGATGTGGACAGAGAAGAGGAGAGAGAGCACCTGGTATGAAACCAAGCAGGCAGGCTTTATTTTTTTTGTCATTTTAACTGTACTAAACATTTCAGCTTTGGAGAAAGTTAAGTTTCATTGTTTTCAGATTAATTGAACGAAATTTTAGTTCTGTAGGTTTAATACATATCATACACATAGTTGATTTTTGTTCTAAGTATATAAATTGTTTTAAGGTCTTGATATACTAAAATAAATGGATTTAAATACAAAAAAATTCAATTCAATTCTGAAACTGGAAACTGTGGCATTCAAATTTGTTATCTGAATTAATGAGTCAATACAGATTTAAAATTTCTGAAATGCTACAATTTCCTAAGCGTAATGTGCTTCTGGACTTTCTTTGTTTTGGGACATGTTTCTCTATAAGCATATTCCGTATGAAGAGAATGGTTTTAGTTCCTTTGAGCTAAGTCTATTTGAAATCACTTATTTGTTCTGCTGTTTTGTAATTATGAGAATAGTTGGAATGCATACATTTGTACTGCTTTCTTTCCATCCATTATATTCAGTTAGCTGAAGTCTTAGGATGACATGATTTTTGTAGCATCCAGGCCTTTGCAGGATGTTAGAGATAAAATACTGTAAGATCTATTTCTAATAATAGACATTCTTTTTTTAAAATCTATTAGTAGATATTAGATAGATTGATAGTAGACATACAGATAGATGATAATCTTTGAAGGTTTTTTTTTTGACGGTACAGGAGTTTGAACTCAGGGCCTCACACGAGGTAGGCAGGTGCTCTACCAATTGAACCATTCCACCAGCTCTTTTTTGTGCCTAGGCTGGCTTCAAACCGAGATCCTCCTGATCTCTGCTTCCTAAGTATCTAGGATTATAAGCATGAGCCACCAGCACCTGGCTTTATTTGAGTTTTTATTTTAGATAAAGAAGAACCTTCAAAGATATATCTTAGGGCCTCATGCTTGCTTGGCAGATACACACCCACCTTCTGCTTTCCCCCTACTTTTTTTTCTTTAGTTATATTTTGGGCAGGGGCTCATGCTTTTTGCCTGGTTCTGGCCTCAGTTGGGATTGCTGGCATGTGCCACCATACCTAGTGATAACATCTTTTTAAAAAATGAATTAGTAAAGGTTCAAAGTGGGCTAATCACCATAGCTACATAGCTTAGCTAATTGAATTTAAACTAATTGAGTAAAAGCCAAGTCTTCTAATTCATAGACTGGTGTGAGATAGTCAATAAATAAATCCTTACATTAAAACAGAAAGAGTGAGTTCTCACATTCAGTTATACTTCTGGTTTTTTTGAGTGTCCATTTTTTTAGTGTTTTACTTTCATGGAACAGTTTCAGTGGTTTGGATTGGCATGTTCTTGTCTAGAATTTTGAGAATAAAGATTCCAAGTTTATGTCATAATTACTACCTGAATGTATTAGTGCCCATGTACATATTCTAATTTGAAGGGAACTTGCTTCATTATATTTAAGGAAAATAACTGAAAATAATTAATTTTTATATCTCAGCTCAAGACTGCTGTAAATGAAAAAATGTTAAAGCCTACAGGTAGAGTTGTAGGAATAATAAAAAGGAATTGGAGACCATATTGTGGAATGCTTTCCAAGTCTGACATTAAGGAGGTGAGTAAAGAGTATATTACTATTAATAAAAAATGATAAACATTAACTAGAACTTGCAGCCCTATTCCGAGATTGTGTGTGTGTATGTGTATAAAATCATTTTCCCTGGGTTGAGGTATAGCTCAGTGGTAGAGTACTTGCCAAGCATGCCCAATAAATAAACAAAAAAACTTATTTCTTAATTTTCTCTAGTCAAGAAGACATCTCTTTACACCTGCTGATAGGAGAATCCCACGAATTCGGATAGAAACCAGGCAGGCTTCTACATTAGAAGGACGGAGGATTATCGTTGCTATTGATGGTTGGCCCAGAAATTCCAGATATCCAAATGTAAGCTTAAAGTATTAATTTTATCTTAGGATATTAATGAACAACTTTGAATAACAGCGTTACTTTTAATAAACATAAAATTCTTTTTATAGGGTTTGTACAGAAACTTAGGGATATTTCAGTTATTGATAAGTAATATATCCAATATTAAAGTAATTTCATGAACTTTCAATATAAATCATTGCTTTTACTCAAACTGCCAAACAACTGCAAAAAAAAAAGTCGTCATTCTGGTAGTGTGGTTCAAATGTTATTGCACTTTCCTAACAAACACAAGGCCTGAATTCAAACCCCAGTACCACAAAAATCAATCAAAAAGTTTTGTCACTTTCAGCTTTTAAATTACCAATGTGTCATTTAAAAAAATTAGCTGTAAACTATGCCTTTCTAATAATACCTTTTGGTTTCAGGGACACTTTGTAAAAAACTTAGGTGATGTTGGAGAGAAAGAGACTGAAACAGAAGTTCTGTTATTGGAGCATGATGTTCCTCATGAGCCTTTTTCACAGGCTGTGCTTAGCTTCCTGCCAAAGATGCCCTGGAGCATTACTGAGAAGGTAACTTCCTTAAAAAGCGTTTGTACTACTTTATAAATGATCACATCCTAACTATTTTTAATTTCTATGTGTGTTCTTAAGTATGTGGAAACCATGGTCACTCCTTCCTTAGTTAGTTACAGCACTGTTAGGTATTACCAAGACATTTGCTCTTGTACAGAAAATAAGTCTTCTGTGTAGCAATGCTAGTGCATAGCAAAAGCAGCGAAGCCACTGCTCACAGATTATGTGTGCTTGTTATCGAGTTAAAGCTAAGTTATTTCTGTATAGAGCTATTATGGATTTCCCAGGAGTGGTGTTACAGTTGCATTAGTGAGATAATTTTGCATTTCTTTTTAATGTGGTTAATTTTAGGACATGAAAAACCGAGAAGACCTGAGGCATCTGTGTGTGTGTAGTGTGGACCCTCCAGGATGTACTGATATAGATGATGCTCTGCATTGTAGAGAACTCAGTAATGGAAATTTGGAGGTATTCCTATTGTCATGACAGTCTTACTGAAATATAATTCTGTGCTTGAGTTCATTTTGTTCTTTTCCTTTTTTTGGCAGTACTGCAATTGAAGTCAGGCCACCATGCTTCCTAGGCAGGCACTCGGCCACTTGAGTCCCACATCCAGCCCTTTTAGCTCTAGGTTATTCTTAAGATAGGGTTTCACTCTTTCGCTCAGACTAGCTGTGAATCACAATCATCTTATCTGTGTCTCCCATGTAACTTAGAAAACAGGTACATGCCACCAAATCCCAACTTACTTGTTGAGATGGGGTCTTGCTAACTTTTTGTTTGGGCCCAAACCTCCATCCTCCTGATCTTCACCTCCTGAGTAGCTGGGATTACAGCTATGAGCCACTGCACCTGGCCTTGAGTTTATTTTCTTTTGACCTAGGTCAGCATTTGTGAATTAACCATACAAAGTTAGAGCTGCAAAAACTAATGATGTGTCAGAGTTGAAATGGTAGATGTGACTGAGTCCCTTTTCAATTTAGCTACATTACTTGTCATTTAAACTCCATCAGTATATAAAAGAAAAGGATTGACACCCTTTTATTTTTACCTTTTTAAGGCTGGTGTTCATATTGCTGATGTTAGCCATTTTATTAGGCCAGGAAATGCCTTGGATCAAGAATCAGCCAGAAGAGGAACAACTGTGTATCTCTGTGAAAAGGTAAATGTGTTGATTTTATAAGAATGAGCTTTTTTGGATTTTTGCTTGTTTGTTGTAGTTTGTTTTGGGGTTTTTTTAGTTTAGTTTTGTTTTGTTTGAGGCAGGGTCTTGCTATGTAGCCTTGATTAGCCTTGAACTCCTGATTCTCCTGGCTCAACCTCCCAAGTGGTAGAATTACAGGTGTGTGCCACCAGGCTTGGCATTTTGGATTTTTGAGCAGTCACATTTTGAAATAGTATGTGATTTAGCTAACAGAAGTACATGGAATAAGGTGTCCTAAATCCTGAAAATATCATAAATTTTTTGTCATTTACTAGCCCTAATAACTTGCAGGTATAGTTGATATAAATTGTTGCATAGCATTAAACTTACACAGAATGATAGAAATAATGAGTAGATTACTCTGTTACAGGTTCAGTCAAAGTGTTACATGTAGTTTTCTCCATAGAATTTCTCTCTTCCCCCCGCTCTTCTTCTCTCTCTTTCACTTACTTTCTTTCTCTGTATTTTTTTAAAATATATTTTTTATTAGGATATATTCATTATATACAGCGTGGGGGGGAGTTTGTAGTAACAATTCTGATTAGTCTTATATTGTACATTATTTACATTTTCCCCATCATTTCTCCCCATCTCTGTTTTTTAAAACACCATGTAGTTTGTTAAGCTTTGGAGAAAGGTTCAATCGCACCGTTGATAGGGCTTGTTTCAGTTAGCAAGTGTCAGCTGACACACATTGGAGATTTCAGATATTCAGAGGACAGCTAGGGGGTTAGTTTAGAGGACTTAAATAAACCTTGATTCACTTGCATGAAGTTCAGTTTCTTTCATTCGTTGCCTTCTGTAACAATTTTAAATAAGTCATTGTATGTAAACAGACTTTTAGTTGACATTTTCTTAGTTCTCTTAATCAAAAAGACCAGAGCACTCTTTTTTTTTTCCTTCTTGTTCACTTAATGCTATTTGAGAATAGAACCTAAAAGACATGGGTATAGCTAAGTAATTTGAGATGCTATTATTGTTTTTTACAGAGGATTGACATGGTTCCAGAGTTGCTTAGCTCTAACTTATGTTCCTTAAGATGTAATGTTGACAGGTATTTATGCATGTTTTTTTCATAAGATTGTTGTATTAGGTATATTAATTGATTCTCATAAATAAATACAGGATCTTTTCCCTTGTAGGTTGGCATTTTCATGTATTTGGGAAATGGATCACAATGCTGAAATCTTAAAAACGAGATTTACCAAAAGTGTCATTAACTCAAAGGTTAGTTTCATGGTTCATCTGCAATGTTTAAAATCTTTGATACTTTTAACAGTTATCTAGAATCCTTTTTGTAAAAGTTAGACTAATATAGTTAAAATTTTCTCTAGTGTTACAGCAAGATCTAGTTTTTTTCTAGAATTAAGAGTTTGCTTAATTGTTGATATAACTCAAAAATTAGTTCATATGGCAGTTGCGCTGTGTTCAGAAACTTGCAAGACAAATAGATGGCCTTGTGCCCTAACTGAAAAACCCCAGGGACTGAAGTTGTTCTGACTTTTAGAAATGTGGGAGCATTAAGATGGGCACGTTGTCTTCTTGTTCATACTTTCTCGTGGAGACGCTGTGGTAAATCGTTGTTGGATTCCAGAGCAGCTAGCCTGAGACCGTGCTCAGGAACAGTGGAGCCACATTATCTGCACCACCTCAGCTAGGAAGCGTGCTTTGAGATGTACTGACCCGAGAGCACGCTCGCTATGTCAGCTCTCAGTGCCTGTTCATTAAAAGGAAAACACTTGTGTGGAAAAAGAATGCACTTCTTGAAGATTCTCTTATATTCCCCTCTTTTTTTGTCCTAAACAATCCTCCAGTTTGCCAAACCCCTTTTCTTGTCATGATGTATCATTTTCCAAACTTACCTGTTTTTCTTTGATTTAGCATATTTCTTTCTGTTCTGATAACTAGTTATTGGGAAGAAGAAAGCAGCGTTAGACTGATAAACAGTGATATGTGAATTATTTAAGCCTTCATACATTTGTACTTTTAGGCTACAGTTGTGTGAAAAAAATTTACTGAACATATAAAACATTCTTTAGAAATAAAGCCCTTACCCCTTAGTAGATGCATTGGTTCTCCCAGATATCTGACGTGACCTACATATCTAACTAACTCTCTTTCACTTTTTATGAAGCCTTTTTTTTTTCTTCTTCAAATAAGCTGAAATGCTAGTTTTCCATCAGGAAAGAAATAGGAACAGAAGCAGCTATTTGTATATGTGAATTCCTTTTTGATTATGATTTATCCCATTTTTAGATACTTAACTTTGAGTATTTAGTGGATTTTGTCCAAGATATGTCTAGACTCTTCTTTACTGTTTGCCAGTGAGGAGAGGACTGATGATCCTCTGGAAAGGATTTAAAAGTTCATACTGTTTTTTTAAGGATGCTACCATTTTGCTTTGTTTTAATGTAAGTTTGCTTATTTCGTATCATTCCTCAGGTAAGTAAATGAACCAGGAATCAGCGATGTGAAATATATAGCTGTGAATTTTTCTTGCTATTGGTTTTAGGCTTCCCCCCGCAAAAAAGGATTTTCATGTACTGGAAATATGAGATATAGTGTGGTAAAATAGTAAATAATAAAGAGAGAAAATAATATGACTTAAATGTGGTAAATCTGTTTTTATCATTTATAAAAATTATATTAACATAAAGTTTCTTTCTTAGGCTTCTCTTACGTATGCTGAAGCTCAGATGAGAATTGATTCAGCAACTATGAATGATGATATTACCACTAGTCTCCGTGGACTAAATAAACTAGCTAAAATCCTGAAAAAAGGAAGAATTGAAAAAGGGTGTGTTTCACAGATATCTACTAGATATATCTTAGTTCATTTATTATGGTGTTTACATAACTTTTGGCTACTTTGGAGTGTTTTCTTATGGATAGTGATGAATAGAGACTTAAGTAGAGAGCCTGTGAGCTATCTTTCAGATATTTGCAGCTTATGCTGGATTGACGTTTGTTCAGGAACTGTGCTCCAAAATATTGTCTTTGAGTAAGAGATCTTGAAAAAGTTCCAGGAAGACAAACATTGCTTAAGACTTCTATTGAGTGTTTCTAATTTTAATTAGAAATGGTTTCTAGATTGAACATTGTGGAAAGTATTTTTATTAGCATATATTGTACAGGGGAATTTCATTGTGACATTTCCATATATGCTTACAATGTACCATGGTTAGGGAGCATAGGTTTTTAGACATTTAAATAAATGTCAGGGAAGCCCTCCTTACACTTGGAAGTTAGAAGACATTATAGAGATTGGTTAACCCCAACTCATCCCTTCTTAAAAATGATTCAAAGTTACATGGAGGCAGTCTTCCCAAAGACCTGACAGCTAGTGACAGATTAGGTGTTTTAGCAGTTACATCATGGCATCTGCCTAACTTCAAAAGGTGTAAGATAAGAAGTATTAGCCTGAGCTTTTTGCAGTTAAAGTTGCTTGATTCTTGAAGCACAGCTATCAGTGGACACCTAGCACATGAGGCTTTCAGATGGTGGTCTCTGGGTTCTCATGCCTACCCACCACAGCGCCACGTGTAGTTACTAGCAGTGATTCTGTGGCAGTGCAAACTGTATGTCTGCACTATTTTCATAAAACATGCCTATTTAGTCTTAGCAGCCACATCTCCAGTGCTCAATAATGGCTAATGACCATATTTGGATAGTGCTGTGTAGAACAGTTTCATCAATGAAGAAAGTCCACCGAACAGTGTTGCTCCAGGTGCTTGTGCTAAGCCATTTTGATTTCTTCTCACACTTCAGTTTTCTGAGTTTTTCATACATTTTCTCCCCTCTCACAGTACTGGGGTTTTGAACTTAGGGCCCATCCCTCCAACCCTTTTTGTGTTAGGTTATTTTTCAGGTAAGGTCTTGCTTTTTTACTTGGGCCAACTTTGGACCATGATCCTTCTACTTATGTCTCCTGTGTAGCGAGGATTGCAGGTGTGTACCACCACACCCAGCTTGAATTACAGGCATGCATCACCACACCTGGGTAATTGGATTTTTTTCTGTCTGACATGAATCATCACATTATGCAATGTATTTTTTTTTTTTACAGGCTTCTACTATACTAGGCTTCAGAAGAAAATTTGTATAAAGATAATTTTTAGAAGGTTTGTTTTAAAACCCAAGTAGGGTGTGGGGTGTAGCATGAGGGTATATGCTTACCATACATGAGGCCCTGAATTCCCATCCCCATCAACACAAAAAATGATAATTAAAGCAAAGCAAATTCTATGCAAATTGAAGCTATATTTATTTTGGCAGTTTTAATATCAAAGTTTGTATTTGTAACATAACTTTTTAAAAATGGAAATGATATTTTTCTAGTTCTAGAAACTTCCTATGTTTTTTTCTAAGCAGTCATCTAGAATAAAAGGTGTTGTGAATCTTCTCAGTCTTTCTTAGCAAGAACTGAGAAAACATTGCCTTCACTTTATACTGTTGGATAAAAATAACATTTTTAAGTGTTGTATGAAGAGCAAATGATTGAAATGTGATTAGGATGTCTTGCTTTTTAGGTCAAGATATATCAATAAAAACATAATAGATCTGATGTAGAGCCTTGTAAGTACTACCTGGCTAAAAATAGGTATTTGTCCAAATTCCCTTTCTGTTACCCGTCCTAGGAGCAGCCCTTCTACTAGAGTTGAGGAATCAAGGAAGAGGACTTAGAATCTCATTTAATTTGCCCCATCTCACTTTATTTCCTCTTTTTTTTTTTTTTAACATCTCCATGATTGTGTAAGGTTGCCCAACCTCATTAAAGTTCTTGGTGACATATGTAGATAGCCTTATGAAAATTTGCTTTTTCAAAGAAGAACTTGTCAGCTCAAGAGAACTTGTCAATTAAGTGAAAAGCTTGTAAAGCTTCAGAGCACAGTACATTTTCTGTCACACGGCACTCAGACCTTAACAGCCATCAGTCCTTTCAGTGGGTGCCATTTATCAGCCTGCCGTTTGTTGGTAGAACCTTTGTAGAATATACTTTGATCTATGCAACTTAGGCTCCTGCATTGTCCCCACCTCAGTACATTGTTTGTGATAAGAAGTAAAATTCTGCCAGTCACTTTATTTATGAAAATGATTGCAAATTTATATAGTCTGGTAAAAATTTGTAGTTTAAGTACAAAAGAACCCTCAGAAGCACAGGTTCTCTGATTTTGTTGTGTTGCTACTGTTTTCTCTGTTAAAGTGATAAGCTATTTATAAAAAGTAGAGCTAAAACCTTAGCAGATGGTCATAAAACCTTCAGAAGAACAACTCTTATTCACTTAATATAGTGATTTTCTATTTTATTTTGTAAATGTTGTTATTGTTATATATTAGTTGTACAGGGGGATTTGTTGTGCTATTTCTGTATATATGTACAGTGTACCCTGGTTTGGCTCATCCCCTTCTTTCTCTTCTCCCTTCCCCTTCTTAAAATGACTTTGACAGTTTCAATGTTCCATATTCATGCATGTGTTCAAAATACATAGACCATATTCACCCTCCTTTATCCTCTTCATTTATCCTCTCCCCCCATTAGCACTGTCCACTTAATATGACCTGTTTTATGTTCCTGTTCTTTATTAAGTGTTCATTGTTCAGTGGGGTTTGGCCTTGGCATTTTACCTGTAAATATATTGCATGTTAATCAGTCTCACTCCCTCTATTACTCTTCCTTACCCTTTCCCCCTGCCCTGTATCATTGAAGAGTTTTCAGTGTGTTTTGTTTTGTCTTACTCTTACACACATGTAATGTATTTCAATATTCACTTCTTTAACATTCTCTTTCCCTCCTCCCCTAGTCTCCTCTGATAGTCCCACTTTGGAAACATGTTCTCTCTGTATATGTATATATGATAATGCTTGTGTTTGGTTCTTTCGCATGTGAGAGAAAACATTCCACCTTTGTCTTTCTGCATGTGGCTTTCTTCACCTAACATGATGTTCTTCATCTCTATCCATTCACCTGTAATGACAAAATTGCATTCTTCTTCATGACTGAATAATATTCCAAAATAGTTCACATTTTGTTAATCTACTCAAAAGTTGTAGGGCATCTGGGTTGTTTCCATAGCTTGGCTGTTGTGAATACTGCAATAAGCATGGGTATGCAAGTATCCTTGCCATCATCTGACTTACATACCTTCTTATATATACCCTGGAGTGGTATTGCTGGGTTGAATGGTAGTTCTATTTTTATTTTACTTTTAAAAAATGTTTGGTGGTACTGGGGTTTGAACTCAAGGCCTCATGGTAGCTAGGCAGGTGCTGTATTACTTGAACTACTCCACTAACCCTGTTTTGTGTTGGGTATTTTTGAGATAGGTTCTCACAAACCATTTGCCCCAGCTGGCTAGAACTGTGATCCTTCTGATCTCAGCCTCCTGATTAGCTAAGATTACAAGCATGAGCTCCCGGTGCCCAGTTCTTATTTTTAGGTTTTTGAGGAGCCTCCAAATTGTTTTCCGTGGTGGGTGTACTAATTTACATTCCCATAATAGCATATGAGAGCTCCCTTTTTCCCATATCCTCACCAACATTTGTTTTTGTTTGTGTCCTTGATGGTAGCCATTCTAACAGGAGTGAGGTGGAATCTTAATGTTGTTTTGATTTGCATTTCCTTTATGGCCAGGGATAGTGAGCATTTCTTCATGTGTTTTTGTAGCCATTTGGACTTCTTCCTTTGAAAAATTTATGTCCAATTCTTTGCCCATTTCTTCATTGGGCCATTGATTCTTTGGGAGTTTAGTTCCTGTAAATTCTGGTTAATTAGTCCCTTGTCAGATGTATAGCTGGCAAAGGTTTTCCCCATTCTGTGGGTTCATTTTCTATTTTTTAAAAAAATTTCCTGTTATTGCCTCATTTGATTAATTTACCTTTTTAATTTTTATTCAGGGCTTTGACTCTTTCTTCTCCAGAAGTTCGATTCCACATGGACAGTGAAACTCATGATCCTATAGATCTGCAGACTAAGGAACTGAGGTATATGCAGTAGTTTTGATGAGCAGTGGATAAGATTTTGGTTTTAAATTTAGTGCATAGTATATGTTAAAACCAAAACATTTATATCCAAAATACCTGTTTCTATTAGAGTTGTGATTTCTATGGATTTTTCCTGGCTTATCAGGTATTTAGAAAAGCAAGTATGATCTCACTTGTTTTTCTTATACAACACTTGAAAAGTATGACCATGGGTTTGAAGCCAAAAACTCTAGGTTTGGATACCACATCTGCTGCTACTGCTCATAAAACTTGCAGTAAATTCTTCCACTTCACTCTGAGTTTCACTTTCTGTCTGTAAAATATGAATGATAATTCTACCTAACCCCTAGAGCATTGTGATGAGGAAGGATTTGGATGTTAGCTGTTGATGCTGTTATATTACTGGTTTGTAAAGATTTAGGAAACAAGGATGTTTTTAGTTAACTCAGAGTTAATGCTTCTTCTCATGCCTCTTATATGAGGAAATTCTGAAATTAATCACACATGTAGGTTTACTTTTACAATAGATGACCAAGGGTTGAAAATAAGAATGTATTTAGATTTTTTATATAGTACTAGTTCTTCAGAGATTTAAAATGTTCTTAGGGAAAAAGATTTGTACACATGTCTGTTGTTAGTAAATTAAACAAATACTAAAACTTCTTTGGGGGAAAGTTGCCAAAAGTAAAACCAAAGTAGAATATCAATATTTCTTCTTGCTAAGCAAAAGAAGAACTACATTCCTTTTTTTTGGCCATACTCATGCACTGTACCACCTGAGCCAACACCCAGCCCTCTTTTACTTTGGTTATTTTTCAGTACGGACTCACATTTTTGCCTGGGGCTAGCCTTGGACTACAGTCCTCCTTCCTCAGCTTCCTGCCTAGCTGGAAGCACAAGTGTGCACCACCACACCCAGCTTATGATTGGAAGTCTTCTTAATATTTCAAGTTAATATATTTTAGCAATCTTGTCAAGAAGTTAGGTGTTATTAAAAATGGAAACATGAATGAGATTAATAATGCATGTTTACTGACATGGGAGAAAAAAGCACTATATACATAGAATTCAGATTATTTATTAAATTAAGCTTAGAGTTTTATGTGGCATAACTATCTAGTATGAAAGCAATTTCAGATTGGTTAAGAGTTCTGAAGTCTGTGGGAATTCAAATTCTGATACTACTAACAACTCTGGTATTTAGCAAGAGATGTCACACATGCCGTTCTCATCAGTGAAACAGGCGCGTGAGTGTGTGCATGTGCTTATGTACACTTACAGCACAATGCTGGTCCATAATAAGCATCCACATTGCTATGTAAATGTCTTCCCTTCATTGTAGTGATTTATTGGTGAAAGTTTGGATTTTCTTTGTAATCAAAATCATTTGACTTAAGTAGATTTTAGTTCTACTTAAGCCTTATTTTGATGGCTTATAGTTAAAAATCTTTTTGGACCCAGTAAGAGGAGGTGAAAATGTTTGTTTTAGACTTTGTATATTAATAAAATTAGTAAAGCTTTTATTTTTCTTAAGTCTCTAGCATATAAAATTTACTCACTATGAGAAATAAGAGATTCTTAGCATAATAACTGAGAAGTGACTGCACCACAGTTATTAAAAGTACACATGTGCACACACAGTTTAAAGAGGAAATGCTTCCATTATATCATTGGGAGAAAAGGTAACTTGTGAATAAATGTACTGATAGAAATCCCAGTTTCTCTTTCCTTGCTTAATGCTCTTTTTCATTGGCAGAGAAACAAATTCCATGGTGGAAGAATTTATGTTACTTGCTAATATCTCCGTTGCAAAAAAAATTCATGAAGAATTTTCTGAACATGCTCTGCTTCGAAAACATCCTGCTCCGCCTTCATCAAATTATGAAATTCTTGTTAAGGCAGCTAAGTCCAAAGTAAGGTTCTGTAATTTGAAAAATCGTATGTATGTGTATGTATTGGGATCTACCCACTACACCCTAGAATTTATATTCATATGTATTTTCATAAAAGTTTTGTTGTGTGTCGATGTAAAAATATGCCAGTAGTTCTTTTGACAAAAGAAAGTATATCTATTTGGAGTATGGTCTTCTCTTCCTGTATATTCACTTTGTATCTACTTAATGAAGATCACTGTGGTCTTCAAGGAGCACTTAGTGCTAAAGCCCGAAGTTCTAGACTTAAGTTATTTGCAGTATCCTGGGCATAAAAAGCTCTTCCATATCTCTGTCCCTTATACCTGGCTGCTACGAACCATTAGATTTACAAATAATTTGTTTTGTTTCTCTTTATCTAACTCAGCTTAGCCTTTGTTTTTGTTTTTTTAATCATGTCCCTAAAAAAAAGAGGCTATATATATAGCATATGTGGAAAAGAGGAAAAATAGGTGGGACACAGTTTTGTCAGCCATGGATACCCCTGCGTCTGGTTAGTAGTACTTTAGGTGTATTTACTTTTGGGGTGACTCTAGCTTTACATTGGTTTTGATTAGATCATGGTGAGGCATCATCTTTCCTGTTGGGAGGAGAGCTAGGAAGGAGCAGCACTGGCTCTCAGAACACTGTTGTAATGGGATGGTGTTGCTTTCTGATTTTGTCCCAGGCTTTTATTGTACATTTACCCCTACCATGTCCATCAGAACTAAACCAGCTTCTCTGCTCCATGGGTTATTAATAAGTTGTTTACATTGTCTTAATTTTTCCTAAGACCTGGTTAAAGGAAGGAGGATTTAAATATTTTGATTCATCTCCCTAAGGTAGAATAAAGTCACTAATTTTGATGCATCAGAGCCTTGTTGTTTCTGGCCTTTACTTCTAATTTGAATAGAAGGAAAATATCTGCAGAGACAAATGCAGACATGCTGAAAAGTATCAGTATCTGCTTTATTTCCTTCACCCCCACAGAGATTAGCAAGCATTAATTAGACTTTGAAATACCAGTACTATTACCATAATTCTTATTCCCCTTGGACCATGTTCAGTTTTAATACTTCAGTACCTTTAAATGTATTCAGGAAATTTTAAGCTTTATTGTTGCACAATGTGATCATTACTTATTTTATAGTTATTTTTAGTCATCCTAGCTAAAAGATAAAAAGCATGAGCCCAGATTTTCTGGTTAAAAGAAACACTATGTTCATACTATTTAGTTATATTTTGAAGACTATTTCTGATGTAAAAATGTTTCGTATGATGCTTTTCTCCTTCCTTTTATTCACAGAATTTGGAAATTAAGACTGATACAGCCAAGTCTTTGGCTGATTCCTTGGACAGAGCTGAATGTCCTGCTTTCCCATATCTAAACACTCTGTTAAGAATATTAGCCACTCGCTGTATGATGCAAGCTGTATACTTCTGTTCTGGAATGGATAATGATTTTCATCACTATGGCTTAGCATCACCAATATACACACATTTCACTTCTCCCATCCGAAGGTATTTTTTTTCTTATAAAATTAGATAGAAAACAGTTATGAGTTAAAAAGAAATACATTTTAATACTAATTCTCATTTCTCCTTTATGTGTCTAGATATGCAGACATAATTGTTCATCGGCTGTTGGCTGTGGCTATTGGGGCAGACTGTACTTATCCTGAACTGACAGACAAACACAAGCTTGCAGATATATGTAAAAATCTCAATTTCCGGCACAAAATGTCTCAGTATGCTCAGCGTGCCTCAGTAGCTTTTCATACTCAGGTATTTGCCTCCTATCAGCAATGCTATGAGAAAGGAGGTTTTAAAATTAATTTCAAAATTATTTTTGTGAATCAAAGTATTTTTAGACAATTTTAATAAGACTATGTTATTTTACAGTTATTTTTCAAAAGCAAAGGAATAGTAAGTGAAGAGGCCTATATTCTGTTTGTAAGAAAGAATGCTATTGTGGTGTTAATTCCAAAGTACGGTTTAGAAGGTACAGTGTTCTTTGAAGAAAAAGACAAACCAAAGCCACAGCTTATTTATAATGATGAGGTACAGTATTTTTAACGTTTCATTTCTTGGTGAGGGAGGTGCTTTTTCTTTAACAGTTTGCAAATGGTAAAGTGTCAAGATTACTTTCTGTACCCTTATTTATCCTAAATCTCTAAATACATGCCAGAAAATCCATAGTTATGCAAAGTAAAGCTATGGTTTTACTCACAGAATTTCTTACTTCATTGTATTTTTCTACATACAAATGTTTCCCATGGTTTATTTCTTTCATAGCATGTGAAGTTTCAACCTAGGTGGGCAGATAGAAATAAATGGCTGCTTATAGCTCAGGGAAGGTTTGTTTTTCGTTTTTATTTGCAGTATCTTGTTTGACACACTCCATATTTCCCTAAATAGTAGAATTATACCTGAGAGACTAAATAGCTGTCTATGCCTAGGTACTTTGTGTTCTACTAGATCAACAGCTCACTAAATTAGTGGGGTGAGAATTCTGAGATTAATGAATATTCACTGGGCCCATCATAATTAAATAGGTCATGTCTATGTGACACAGCTAGGTTGGTGGATTGTTATATTGGCTACCTACATGCTTAATATTAGAGGAATTGTTTATCAAAACTTCTAATTTACTATGAAAGATAACTATAAATTAGAACACAACTTTGAATGTAAGAAGCAACTAAGAATAATTTTTTTCTTTAAGACACCTTCACTTGAAATAGAAGGTACGGTGTTCCATGTGTTTGATAAAGTTAAAGTGAAAATTATGTTAGATTCATCTAATCTTCAGCATCAGAAAATCCGAATGGCACTGGTAGAACCACAGGTGAGACCAAGCTTATTAATTTCCGTATTGCGATGGAACAAACAGTACATATTTTGTGTGTGTGAGAGAGATCTGGTTATTTCCAATAAATGTTAGAATCCTATAAATAGTGTGAAGTCTAAATATTTGCATAGCAACTCATATTTTCTCATTGATTTCCATATGTCATTGGATCCTAGACATCTGGGATTCTTTCAAGAACTCTTTCAAGAGTTCTTTTGCCCCACCCTTTTCTTAGGAGTTTTGTAAACTGCACTTTGAAGATCAAGTGCTTCATTTAAGATACTGATTTTTAACTTTTGTCCTCCCCTAACACACCTAAGACCTCTGATGCACTCTATCAGCTCCACTAGGGTAAATGAAACCTCAGGAAGGACTGTGTTACAGTTAAATACAGTGCCCCAGTGATTAGCTTCTCACCGAGACCTTATCTACCATTTACATTTCCAAACCAGTATACTTTGAGCATAAAACATGTATACTTTGTGTGTAAAACCCTTATAAACTCCCAACCCCTACATCCTTTGAAAATTGGAAGTAGCATGTGAAAGGTGAAGATGAGGGTGAGATTTCTTAATGTATTGTATGCTTTTAATCACCTTATTTTTCCCCATTTGCATTACTTTAGATATCAGGAGTAAGCATTCCTACTGACATTTCCAACGTGGATCTTAATGAACCAGGGAGAAAGAAGAGGAAGTTTGAAAAGTAGCTACATTCAACAAAAAACTTCAAAGACTGATTTCCTTAAAAAACAAATGCAAAAAAAACCTTGAGAATACTTCTAAACCTAAGTGTGTGAATTGTGTGTTACCTATAAGTTTGAGAAATGTGCATTTTTATTTAACTTTTGATTTGTATCTTAAACTACTTTGATTGAACAGAACTATTTATGCAGAAAAATTCAGTTGAATATCACCTAAATGGTGACAGGATAGCAACTTCAGGGATCTGTAAAGATCATTTAAATGGACACTTATCTGCTCATTGAAGAGCAGATTAATTTTGGATTAAGTACTTTTTAAAATATTGGTAGGAAAAAAAAAACCCTTAGAACATTTTTAGAAGCAAAGAACAATCCTTTTTAAAGCTTAAGCTGTCAGTATTTGTTATATAATCACCTTTGCCATTTTCATTTAGCTAGCTTACATTTTAAGTGTTCCCTTACTGTATTAAAAAGCCTCTTGTATTTAACTACTGGTCTATGAACAGCTGTAAATGTTTGGGAATTGGTAGGAAAACAAGAAATAATTCTATTTTGACTTTACTGGGAAAATAGCATTTTGGGTTGTTTTGTTTTTTTTCCTTTTTCTATAAAAATGTGTTACTCTAGGTAGTAAGTATGGTCATCATCCTTGACCTTCAGCTCCAATATCTTCCCAAATTAAGGCATTAGAGCTCAAAGAAAGACTAAAGGTGGTACTTTATATGTCTATCAGGTTGCTTATAAAATACAGATAATGGCTTTTAAATTGCAATTGTATCAGTTTATGTAGGGAATGGGGAATTGTCTTAAGAACTTATTGAAAGAAACAAATTAAAATAAATCCTGTTATTTGGCATGTGAAATTAACCACTTCCCTTGCTAACCACAAATTAATGATTACATTGGGGAAAGGGCTACCTTAAAATATTGTACTTTGCTTATTCAGTTTCTGAAGCACTTTGGAAGAGTTTGCAGTACAACTGGCAAGTAAGTCTGCAGGCATATAAGTTGTTATAATTACAATATGTGCCTGCAGTCATGTAGACATTCATTATTGTTGAATGATTTTTCCAATTACTGTTACATCAGGCAGAACTTGATTCAATTCAGCGAAGACAGCCTTCTCTGGTCCAAGTAAAATGGGTCAGTGACTAACACTAGAGCAAGAAGCAAACCTTTTCTGTAAAGGTCAGAACATTTTAGACTTGTTCACTGTAACTTCAGCTGTAGCACTGAACTCTGTGCAAATTAGTGCATAAACGGCCATAACTGTGGGTAAGCAGGCATGGTTGTATTCCAACAAAATCCTATTTATAGACATGGTAATAATTTTATGTGTCAAATTATTACTTGATTTGCCTCCAGCAACCACTGAAAAATTATCTACAGGCCATAGTTAACCTTCATTATAAGTAAAGGGAAACTTCTTGATAAAGCAAGATTGACTAATCTTATACCTATTAACCTTCCCAGTTTGCTTTCTTGTGCCTTGGTTATGAGTAAGGCCCAAATTGAGGCATTAGTCTCAGCTAAACTCTTAAACATGATCAGAACTGTGTCATATCCCCCTTATAAGGCCTCTTCTTTGGTAGAGTGCTTAGTTTCTAGTGCCAGTTATTATGCTAAGCAACTTCCATGCTTTGCATCTGCAGATTCAAAATACTGAGAAAAAAAAGTTGCACCTGTGCTTAACATGTATAGCCTTCTTCCCCGCCCCATATTCTCCAAATGATACGATGTAACAGCATTTACATAGATAGCATTTACATAGTATCAGATGTATAAGTAATCTAGATGTGATTTGAAATGTATGGGAGGGCATGTGTGGGTTATGAGGAACATGAACAGCTATGGATTTTCAAATCCATGGAAGGTCCTGGAAGCAGTCCTTGTGGAACTGAGGCAAGACTGTAATGCAATTAAAACTGAAAAAGCCTTTTTGGGACTCTGCCCATTTAATAAAAAATTTACCTTTATGCCTAGATCAAGTAGTGATAGGATTTGAATCTAGTTATAATTACTACCTTGTTCTTTTTTTTTTCTTGGCACTACTGGGGTTTGGACTCAGGGCCTCAAACTTGCTAGGCAGGCACTCTACAACTTGAGTCATTCCATCAGCCCTCTTTTGTGTTGAGTATTTTCAACATAGGGTCTTGTATGGTTTTGAACCATAGTCCTGATCTCTGCCTCTTGAGAGTAGCTAGGATTACAGGCATGAGCCACCAGCACCCGGCCTTACATTTCTTAATGCTATTAAAACAATAGCCAGGGAAGTTCTTACTGCTAGAACCTAGAAATCCTATGCATGAAGACTACTCATCTTCCCAATGCAGTATCTTTAAAAATGGACCAGATGGCTAATGGCATTCATGGTTAGTGTGTGGGCAAAGGGGATGAATAAAGGACAGGAGAAGGAACCTTTTGTGAAGTTAGTAATAAGCTTATAAGGTATGGAGTATCACATAGAATAAGGAAATGACACAATGACAACACATATTTTTATTTCCTGAGGCTACTTATGAATTATTCTTTTTCATGAGACAGTTTAAGGATTAGGAGATAGAAAAATATATTCTCCAAAGATATTTCCAAACATGTTAAATCCATCATCTACTAACATGGATGTTACTTTTCTTTCTAAAAAATTGACTTGCATTTTACTTATATTTTTATCCATTACTTTATAGTTCTAAGCCCAACAGGAATTCTGCTGTCCCCAGTTCCAGTGCTACTCTCTTTCTCCCACATTCTGTTCTTCTCCCTAGCCACATGTGAACATGGAAGGATGCTCCCACTCCAGGAATTGTGGTATATTTTATTCTGGGATTCTACTTACCCCACAAATACTATTACCTTTCTAGTATTTACTAGAACAGTTATCACTGGGACTAAACTTTTCCATAGAAATGAAGAAACTGTTCAAGAATTAAAATTTTAGGAAAACCTATTTAACTTTCTACCTCTTTAGTTTCATGTATCATAGTATTTCTTTCACATCGATTGCACATTAAGTTCATTTTTCTGTTCCCAAGTTTTTATGTGAAAATATGTAGTGCCTTCAATTTTAGCATTTTTTCATGTTCTCAACTCCTGCCAAATTCAGTGCTGTCAATAAGGCTGAAGTAGTTTATTGACTCTAGGACAGGGGCAAGTCATGAGCTCTTGTCACAATTTTTTTTGTGTTGGACACATCACTCAAGGTAAGTACAAAAACATTTATTGATAAAAAATAAACTTGTAATTCAGCAATTTGACACTTTAGGAGCTTTTCTGTTGTTCCTATGTCACTAAGCCAAGCCCTTGATTCTTCACATTAAGGAGGGAAAGAAAAACTAAGCATGTTACTTAAAGCACCTTTTTTCCCCAATCACCATCATATTATTGATTCTGTGCATAAAAGTTCAGTGATAGTCTTTGGTTCTGATGAGAGGGATTCTATGGAGTGCTGAACTGGGGTGGGCTTGCTGTTTTCATCCAACACCTCTGTGTTGTTGGTTCTTGCTGTGAAGAAGAAGAAAATACCTTGTTTTCAGTTTAAATAGGACCACTCAAGGATACAATTATTAGACAGTTTTTAAAAAGCTAACATTCTGTTTCAAAAAAATGCTCCCTGTATCTTAATGCCTTCTTACATTTAGGTGGAAACTATAAACCTACCTCCTGAAATGGTATAGATTATCATATCAACTTGGTTAAAGTTAATCTTAGAGGAGACTTGTTCTGATGTTAAAGACAAAATGAAGAAAAATAAGATGGCCTCCCTATAAAACTTCATTTGCAGAGTTATGTTGCATTACACATTTGGTGTTTAGAGTATCTAATAATAAACTAGCATATAACATCAAAAATTGTTCTGTCTTCCGTCTAGAGCTGATAGATTTCAAATATGAACACATGCTTAAACCATCATATCAAAGTTCAATAAATGTTTGGATCAGAATCTACTACCTTTACATAAACACTGTCATACCGAAAATACCTAGACATTCTCTTATTCAGAACCACTAAAATCTTAAAAGGCTATTGGATTTTAAGAAACGAGTCCTTAACTTGAAGTGTTTTTTAGCCTGATCATAATTTTACAATTGAACTATTTGCCTGTTCAATAGTAAAAATTCTTTTCTATGTTTAGCTTTGAGATGTCACTGAAATATTTTAAAGATGGCAAAGTCAACTTTAGAGGAGGCAAAAATTGATGCCTTACTTCTCTTTTAAGGATCTGATTTCACTTGCTGTTTGAAAGTAGAGATAATTCTCCTACAAACTCTTCTCTTACATGTTCCCTGTAGGAAGAGTTAAGAACTTGAAGTGTTTGTATTTAAAAACCATCTTCTGCCACCAGTTAAATGAACAGGACAGGATGAAGCATAGATGATAATTAAGAAAACTACACAGAATGGAGGAGATGTAGGTAGAAAAAGTGTCACAGTAAATACATCTAGCCCATACTAATATTAAACTTTCTCTGTAATTTCTCCATACCTTTGAATTACAAATTTGAGATTTAATCTCAACTTCAGCGGTTTGCACATCACTTTCTTTGCAGTAACTTTCTGTCCCAACTGTGTCCATAATATTGCTTCCACAAGTCTGTGTGTTATAGCCACTGTCCATCTGAAAGGAACGAGAAGAACAACATACCTTAAGGACAGGACTGAAAACTCATGTTCCTAACCTACATAAAATTCAATGTAAGGAACTTAAAGGTCAAGTATTTTAAGTTAGTCACTATGTAGTGTCATTCACTGCATCTGAACAATGTACTGAATCAAATTTAAGTAACACATAAACATAAAAGATAGTTCTACACAGAACTGACTCCTTTTCAGCATACTCTACAGTGAATTCCTTTAGAATCAGTGAACAAGCCAAGAGAACACATTTTGCTGTTACTCTGTGATCACACCCAGTGGATGAAAATGAGGACTGCAATCAAACTCCACCTACCAACTCATTTCCCAAACTTGTCCCTAGGGCTTGGTTGTATCTTGGTTGTATCTGTAAATAAAATTTACCTAAAATACATACCACCTTTCAGAGAATTAGAAAACAATACATGTTTTTAGAAGGTGGACCACACAACACACACCCAATTGTTTACAGCAATGCCGTGTAATGGCTCTACATGTTCAAATTCTCCTGTTAATAAAAACTGGTGCATTCTAAGACATACTCAGTCTTGTGTAAAAAACAAAGAGAAAGACTCTAGGAAACTCGTGTGGTACATACAGTATCCCCTCTTACTCATGAGGGGATACATTCCAGGACTCCAATGAATGCCTGAAATGCAGGTACTACCAAACACTATTCTATATTCCTCCTAAACATACATATTTGTAATACGATTTCATCTATACATTCATCACAGTAAGGGATTAACAATAAAATGGAACAATTATATAATTTTTACTTGTTTTGTATTTTGCAGACAGGTCTCACTATACTGTAGACCAGGCTGGTTTTGAACTTGTGACCCTCCTTCCTCAGCCTTCTGAAGGTGGAATTACTATTGCTTCTTGCCTTTTGGCTGAGATCAAGAGCGAGTGCTGGAATTACAGGTGTGCACTACTACCATGCTGGCTTATAATTTTAATGAAAGTTAAATGAATGTGATCTCTTGCAAAATATCTTAATGTATTTTTACGTTTTCATTTCAAGGATGTGTTTTGTGGCTTCTCTCTGGCATATCCAAATTGTCAGCATTGCTGCTTTTGCGTTTTGGGGATAACGAAGTAAAATAAGGGTAACATGAACACAAGCACTGGATTATCATGAGAGTCAATCTGACGTGAGAAGGCTACTAAGTGACATATGGGTGGGTGATGTGGACACACTAGCCAAAGGAATGAATGATATACTGGGCAGGCTGGTAAGAGACAGTGCAAAGAGACTGCTATTCAGAATGGCATACAATTTAAAGCATTGTTTATTTCTTGAATTTTCCATTTAGTATTTTTGGACCCATGGGTCTCTCAAACTATGGAAAGCAAACTTAGAGATAAGGGAGTAACTATAATGTACAATCAACATTTACTGCATGAAAATGCCAGGTTCTATGTGGCACTCTACATACGATGTCTTTAACTTTCTCCTTCAAATGAGGAGGCTGAGGCCCAGAACAATTACCCCTCACAATGTCATACAGTAGTAAGGTGATAAAGACCCGAGGTTCCCAAGTCCAGTTTCTCTTCACTGCACAGCACTCCATTTGCCTGCACAATGCTGAGCACCATATGGCACACACCATGCACAAAGGGTTTACGGCCTTTAACCCTTCCTCACAATCAGGAGCACAAGTTGGTTTGTTCTTTTGCTTCCTTCATGAACATTTAGGATAGCCTAGAAAGTGCATACTATCACTTATACCTAAAAAATAATGTCCCTAGTTTTCGGGTTTAGATGCGTATTTGCTCACTAGTGGGGAGTCTGGTTTCATTAGAACAAAAGTCTTGTGATGTGTAAAATAGAATTTAACATCATGTCTCAAGGGAAGCACCTTGTTCTACCATTCAATACAATAGATATTTGATCAAAAATGTAAATTCAGATTGCTTCCAGAGAATCTGACAATTACTCTTCCTTCTAATAGTTTTCACTGCCAAATAGCTAGCTCCCAACTCAATACTAATACATAACTGAACATATCAAGGGAAAAGTTACTCAATAGTACAGGAAGAAGCAAGGGACACAGAGTTTGTCTGATCAGATGGCAGCTGAGGTTACTGTCTCTCATCTAGCCCACTGCCAATGCCAATGCATACTGCGTACCAACCAGACAACACACATCATCTCGTTACTCCCAAAGGCATCAAGGTGGGCCTCAGTCTCATTCTACAGCTGAGAAGAATGAAGTGCTAAAAAAGAAACAGTCATGCTCTACTCACTGTCAAGTGAATCCTGCCTTAAGATCCCACAGGCTGGAAAACAGAAAACTCTTCCTTTAAAATTAAAGATCAGATTGAAGAGGAAGATAGCTTTGAAACAGGGCCATAAAACATGGTGAACTATCAACTAAAAGCTGTAACCTCAGACAGAACTGTGAGAGAGCCAAGCAAAAGTTCAGGACTGAGATGAAAGGCACCATGCAGAGATAAGCACCCATTCCTGCCTTTCTTAGTCTCCACTTGTAAATAAACTTTCCAAAGTAGGTCTCTCCTGCTGTTCTTATCTAAACAACACTAGGTCCCTAGCTCACTACCAGCCCAATTAACCTAAACAATCTAACTCACTGGTTAGGACACTATAACCTGAGCACATATTTGTAACCTGATGCCCTACACTACTTTTTAAATATCTTGTGAATCCTTTGTTCAGGGCTCAGACACAGGTACACATCTGAGCCCGCTGGCGTAAAAATAAAATCTGAGTTCTCCACTCCTCCGAGTGTTGCTTGGTTTCTCCTCTGACTATACTGCCACAACAAGATTCCTAAGGCTGCTTTTAAAACTGTGCTCTCAGTTATCCATACACTTTGTTACTGAATTTTTTTTCTGTCACATAAACCAGATGCCATTGTCTTTAAAAAGCCATCAATGGCTCATAATTGTCAAAAGTTGTTCCTCACAATGGCATTCCTTGAAATCTGACCTCAGTACTTCAGCCCTTATGTCATCATTCTCAGTGCCTCAAGCTTGCTATCATTCAGAGGTCTTTGTCCCTCATTACTACCTATTGAAAACCAGCAGTGCTAAGCACTGGTAGTTAATTCAAGGTACTAAATCAATATTACCTTATTATCCTCTTTTTAAAGAAGAGCTAGCAAGTTGAAAGAAGTTGTCACTTTCTGACATTTACAAAGCTAACAGAGCAGCCCTCTGAACTGATATCTGCCATTGTTTTCCCAAACCCACATTCTGTAATACTTCTAGTCCCTGAACTACAAACATGGCACCTATACTCACCCTGGCCCCTGCCTTCCTCTAAAATAGAAGGATTACCTTTGCTGATCCCACCCAATTCCTGGTTTTAAAAAAATCTTCGTATTTGCCATTTAAGAATCTCATGCTGTACAACTGAGCTAGCTGGGTCTTGTTTTGTATTTAAATATGCTGTTTCTCTCATGTAAAATAAAAACAAGGTGAAAAAACAAACTGCAAAACAATCTTAGGACTTTGATGTTCTCTAGCTATTCTTTTCTTTTCCCTTCAAAACTAAGGTTCTTCAAAGAGTCATTTACATGCACAGTTTCATCATCTCATCTTTAACTTCCTGGCATTCACTTCATCTCCCCACCTTGTGGCTGTTCAGTTACCAATTACCTCTGTTATTTCAGCCACTTTTCCAGGCACATGCTCCTTGCTCTTCTTTTCACAGTACCAGCCATTCCTTCCTGCTGAAGAGGGCCCTGGCACAATGCTTTCCTGGAATCCTTTTGGCTGTTTTTTTCTCAGTTTCTTTTTTTCTCCCCAAAATTTTCTAAATTTTATTAAGACTAGCCATCTTTAAAGAACTCCACAGAAAGGACACAGTGAAACCATACAATATCACATGTATAAAATCATACAAAATTGTTTAGGAATTTACACATAGGATTAAAAGTAGTAGTCTTTGCTCCCATTTCCTGCATGGGGAGCAGGAAATGTTCCTCCCTTTTTTTTCCCCCCACTTCTCCTCACTTTTATTCTCTTATACAAACTTATTTTCCTAATAAACTTTACTATTACTTTTACTAAAAAAAAAAAACAGTAAAGACATGATTTCTCCAAAATTCAGGATAGTGGTTATATCTGGGGAGGACAAAAAAGCTTCACCCACTTTTCTTCAGTTACTTACAATAATGTAAATCAATAACATAAACATAGACCATTTCTAATAACATCTCTCCTCTGCTAGATCATGACTTCTGCATGGGCAAGAGCCCATCCCCTCAACCATTCCTTGCAAAGTGATGGGATACCAAACAGAACTCTCTTCTTTCATCCCAACAACAAGCAATCTGGTCTGCTAGCCCTACCCACAGAATTGGTTGTATAAACCAAGTGGGACAAAAGACAGAGACCAGCCCAAGGCCACTGAACCTAAGATGGCCTGCTCCATGAAAAGGACCTGGTGCCTAGCCCTGGATGAAAGACTTCAGCACCTCAGACCTCACTTAGTCCTGGAGCCAGTGATTTAGTCACAAGGGAGCCCCCATGCCTATTTTTTAGTAACACTCATTCAGGCAGGGGAGCCAGCACAGCCAAAGCTGTGGGACTTCCCCAGATGCCCAGAAACAGTTTGAGCCTGTGGAAGTCTGGTTCTCTCCTTGATAGCACAGAGCACGTTCAGATCACATCCAAGACCTTTTTCTGCTTCACAGAGGATGGTTTTATGTACGTCTGAATCGTTAGGGTCCAACAAAGGGCATGACCAAAGATCTCTGTCCAGGAAATTGGAAGCACAGCTAAGCCCAAAGGTTCTTCTTTGCAAAGTCTTGGTACTCTGCTTTCTTTATCTAACCCCTTAATTTTTCCAGAGTTCCAAATTTTAGCTCTATTGTTCTTACTTTATATAGTCTCTCTGGCTGAATCTGTCTTTGTATTCAATCTGTTTTTGTTACACAAATATGTAATAAGTAGATACTATGTGTTGGGGTTTTGTGTGCGTGTGTGTGTGTAATCACTTAGGATAAAAATACACATGATTAGGGATGAGGGTGTAGCTTGGTGGTACAGCACTTGACTAGCATGTCCGGCCCTGGGTTCAACTCCCAGTACTACAAAAATAAAACAAAAGTGAAATAGCTGGATTAATGGTTTAATTAGGAAGAATGCAAAATTACATATGGAATTATGAAAGCATGAAATGAGGTCTGCCAGTAATCATGGAAAGCTTTAAGGATGTGACCAAAAAGTTGTGAATTAAAAAGGTGATGGAAAGAAATTTGGTATGAAGCCTTTGATAGAAGGGAATGTGGTTATTCAATATTCTGAAAAGCCAGCAGCACTGAAACAGGAAAGTAACAGGAAACAAGATGAAGGTGGAGAGTAAGGTAAATGCCAGACCATGCACTACAGACACCAAGATAGCCACATTACAGACACCAAGAGCAAAAGCAAAGGAAAAACAAAATTTAGAAATTAAAGATCGGGTGCAGAAATTAGAACAAAAAGGAGATTTAAGAACCTCTGTAGAACCAAAAGCAGAGAGTAGTAAAAATGATAGAGAAATGTAAGGTATTATTTTTTTAAAGGTCCAAGAAGGAAAGAAGCAGAAGTTTTACAGTCCAGAAAGGCACTGAGTGCCTGCCTAGTAGATGAAATGAAGCCCACACCAAAGAACACAGGAGACATCTCAGAGCCACTGTGTGCAAAGCAATGCTGTATGCGCCAGTCCGGGGACGGGGTGGAGAGAGGTTATTTGCAGAAGATTAAGCATTGAAGTAGTTTTACATCTCTTATTAGTAGCAATGAAATAGTCAATGAAACAATGCCTTCACATTCAAGGGTAATTATTTCTAAACTCAAATGTGAGAGAATGATCATATCATCCAACACGCAGTATCTTAAAAAACAAAAAAGCAACTTCTTGGAAAGCTCCCAGAAAATGTTTTCCAGTAAAATAAGAAGTAAACCAAGAAATAAGAAGAGTGGGCTACAGAACATAGAAGAGGCTAGGGAATTCCCAGCATGATGGCAAAGGGGTGCACTAGGATGAGAGCTGTATACCACATGTGAAAGTCTATCAGTCCACAGAGAAGCGAGGCAAAAGGCAATGGGGAAATATGGTTGCACCAAAAAGGCAATGTAAACTACAAAAATCTCTGCAAGAAGTAGGCTTATGATAAGGCCAAAGGATAAAACTGAGAGTGCTTGGTTGATATCACAGACAGGATGTTTTAGCTCCATATAAGGAACAGGTCTGTATTGCTAAGAGAAGTGTGGAAATGAAATGCAATACCCCTGAGGTATTAGATGATGACTTAGTAGTGGCTACAATTATAACAGAACGTAAGCCTGTGGTGGGTAAATTGGATTAAAAAATTATTTAGATGTAGTCAACAAAAGCATTTTAAGTGTTTTGCCAACAAAGAGAAAGACAAAAAGGAACACAGAAAAAGAACAATATCTTCAAGGTAAGTCTAACTATATATGCTTCTTTTACCTATGAAATCAACTTTAGAAGCTAAAAACATGTAAAAGTGATTTTAGTGTAATCATTTTGAGCAAGGAACCTAGAAGCCAGGGTAAGTAAAATAGGCATAAAAATATGCACAAAAGATTGTATTTAATTTTGAGTGACTTAGAATCCTTCCTTGAGTTTTCAACTTCAGCACGCAAAAACTGATGACAGCATAGCAGCAGGACTGTTGTGAGACTAAATGAATTACTACATATAAAGTGGTTAGAAGAGTAACTGCACATCCAAATACTGTTACACCCAGGTGCCAGTGGCTCATGCCTGTACACTTAGCTACTTAGGAGGCTGAGATCAGAGGATAGTGGTTACAGGCCAGCCTGGTCAAAAAAAAGTATGCTGAGACCCCATCTTTAAAGAAAGAGGCTGGGGGGTGGGGTAAGAGAGGCGGCTGGGGGAAGGGGGGAGAAATGACCCAAACATTGTATGCATAAATGAAGAAAAAAAAAAAAAAAGAAAGAAAGAGGCTGGGTGTAGTGGTGCATGCCTACCACCACCTCAATGATGGCAGAAGCCTAAAAAAAGGACTGCAGTCCAGGCTGGCCTAAGCAAAAAGTAAAACATTTTCTCCAAAATAATCAGAGCAAAAAAGGCTGGCAGTGTGGCTCAAGAGGCAGAGAGCCTTCCTCATAAGCATAAAGCCCTGAGTTCAAACCCCAGTACCACCCACCCACACAGAATTAACTGCTACTATGACTCATTGTAAACTTGAATTAAAGAATATGAACGCTAAAAGCTAAACTACTAGGACCAAATCTGGGTTCTACCTCCTCCCAGTTACACAAGCTTTAAGGAATTTACTGAACTTTTGATCCTACTTCCTGATCTCAAAAATGGTGTAATAGTATCCTTCTTCACAGGATAGTGAAGACAGTGTTTTCTGTGCATGAAGGACTCAGAATAGTGCCTGGCATACGCTAAGCTCTACATAACGGTCAGATGTTTGTTACTGTGAAGTAGCAGTTAAGAATTCCCTTGTGATTATTTTGAGGTTCTTTCAACATTTTGTACACAAGGAATATTGCAATTAATGGAGGAAATGTCTTTCGAAAGTGTTGGTTATAAAATATATACATACATATATAAAATCAGGATGTCTTATTGATGGGCATTAGACAATTGGAAATGTATGATTACATCAAAAATGTTGACTGTCAATGACATTTTAAGAAAGAAAAATACACAAAATTACACATAAAAGGGCTCCAAATTCTGCCCCCCACCATCACGTAAAGGAAAAGTGAAAACTACTGTACTTTTAGAATACAAATACTGCTTAGAAACTGCATTCTTGTGGCACTAGATTCACATGACACAGATGAGTCCTGTGAGGTTGCCTGACTAGCAGTCTGCAAAAACAGGAAGCTCGATTTCTTTTCTGCTCTCCAAGTAAGAATCAGCTAATGTGCATATTAAGTACATATAATTAATTTTAATTTAAAGAAACTAACCATCTTGGTATCATTTGGTGTCAATATTTTTAAAAATGTAAAATAACTACAGTCCTCACATTCCACCCATTATCCTCTCACACTGTAATCACAGGAAAAAAGGATGAAGAACAGCACCGTCATAAAGAACGATAAAATTATTAAAACACCTTACCTGAACGTTACTGCTTTCACAGGGAAGAACACTGCTTTCTGCAAGAGGTGACATGCACATATGAGAGTTTTCAATACTGAAGGCAATTCCACTCACAAAATCACTCATGGGTAAATTCCCATTATCGAGTGGCTCCTTAATCCAAGTGCTCTCATCTGCCGTTTCTACGGGATCCACCATGTCCACTGTGTCATTCTCCTTCACACTCTCCACATCCTCCAAGAGCACCAGCTCTCTCTCAGAAGCTCTGTACTGACTTTGCGTAATGGACATGGCAGTCACACCTACATGTGCGCTACGTGTAGCAGCTTCACTCTTCACCTGCTGAAGGTGCACTCCCGCAGTATCCATGCCTGGTGATGCAACACCTGTGGAGGGAACATTCTCTTTATCCTCATCTTCGCTGTGAGTCTCAAGGGTAAACGGTATCCGAATCAGTGAGGTCTGATACTGTGTAGCGCCTCTACACGTCTCAAGTCTCATAGGAGAGCAATTTTTAATTGGTGAGCAGCCATCTATATAAGGACTTCTGATACATGGATTAGTAATTCCATTAGAATTTGTTCCAGATGAAGCATCAGGAGAATGAAAAGCAAATTTCCTTTGCTCTAAAAGATGGGAGGAAAAAAATCAGACCATAAAAACACAAAATGGAAAAGCCATTACTAAATGGTAATCATGTTTCATGCCAGAACCACTGGATTTCTCTAACAGTTGTGTTTACTAAAGTAAAATTTGGCGTTAAAAACAACAGCACAAGTAAATGTGTCTCAGTAAGTAGGATGAGGCTCAAAAATAGTTTCTCTGGCTCTTTTCCTGTTTCAACTAAAACATTTCACTCTCTGAGAATTATTTCCTGATAAGCATATTCCTATTATGCCAAAGTTATTCATATATAAAGCAGATATCTTGCAAATCAGCTGAAAGCTGTATCTATATATGGCAGTACATGGGTATGAACTGAGGGCACTGCATTGCGCTTGCTAGGCAGGCTCCCCAGTCCTTTTTCATTTTAGTTAATTTCTGCACAGGGTCCTGTATTTTTGCCTGGGTTAGCCTGGACCATGACCCTCCTATTTAAATCCCCTGTGTAGCTGGAACCACAGGTGCATGACACCACGTCTGGCTTTATTAATTGAGATGGGGTCTTGCAACTTTTTGCCTGGGTTGGCCTAGAACTGTAATCCTCCCAATAGCTGAGATTACAAGCATAAGCCACCAAACTTGGCCAAATAGACTTGTTCTTATGTAAAATACCAACATTAAAAGGCAAACAAAAAACTGGAAAACAGTATTTATAATAACAAAGTGCCTAACAATAATCAAAATGACAAAAATGCTTTGAAGTTGGCCCAGCATGGTGGTCAGTCCTATAATCCCAGCTACTTGGGAGATAAAGGTAGGAAGGAGGATCATGTTTCCAAGCCAGCCAAAGCAAAGTTAGCTTGAGACTCTGAAAAACAAAACTAAAAGCAAAAGGATGGGGGCATGGCTCAAGTGGTAGAGTGTAAGGTCCTGAGTTTAATCCCTAGTAGTAAAAAAACCCCAATAAACAAAAACAAATGAACAATCAAAACCCCCACATGAACAGTAAAAAGTATGGAAGTTAAAAAAAAAAGAGACTATTCATTTAACAACAGTGAAATCTGAACTAACGATCTCCTCAAAATACAATGACCAATAAATATTCAGGAAGAGTTCAACATCATTAATGAATGAAAATATGAAAATGAAATAACTAAGACATCTTAAGGACCAAAGGCATGATAATACTAGTGTTTATGAATGGAGAAAAACTGCTTTCTTACACACTGTTGGTGAAAAATCAATTGGTATGATCTTTTATGAAAAAAGCTGGCAAAATTCATCACAAGGTTATAATTTTTTAGAGAAATATGCAACTTTTCGTATTTACCTTAAAAACTTTAAAAATATCCACCCCCTTTAACCAAATAATTCTACTCCTAAGAATTTTAGCTAAGGACGTAAATATACAGGACGTAAAATATACACAAAGATAATAATTAGACTACAAGCAATGGAAATATTTATTGATGTTTAAAAACAGATGATACATAGGGCTGGGGCATAGCTCAGTGATAAAATATTTGCCTAACATATACAAGGTACAATCTCTACCACCTCAAACAGAAAAAAAAAAAAAGGGAAAAAAGAAAAAAAATGCTTTGTGAAAAGGGAGGATACAGAATCATACATAAAACTGTACAAGTCTGTATATTCACACGTGTATCCATCTATAAAGAGCAACAAAATAGTTTTCAATTTTCCAATTTTATTTACTATGAATAGATTTTCTAAAAATGCCGAGTTTTGAAGTAGTATAATTTTTTCAGAGAAATATGTAAATATCTGCATATATCGACCTTTAAAACCTTAGACAAATATAGTTTCTTTTTTTACAAAATATGTATGATTATCAAGGTGTACAGAATTGCCTTCTTTCTTTTCGAATAAAGACATTGCTAACCAAAGTAACTACTTAATACTAGAGTTGAATTTTTTTGAAAATTCCAATCTTTGAAGACATATTTTTCCTTCGTTAAAAAAAACCTCAAGGTTTCTAAATATTAGACTAAAGTGGTATTTAGAGCTCTGCAAAAAGAGCCTCTTTAGTTACAAATACTGATATGGTATAAGAATTTCAACTAGGTATTTTATTATGTGACATACCTGAGAGTGGTGTCTTTCCTATTTGAAGTGCAATTGGCGAGAAAGTGGGTGAAGAAATGGGTGAAGGACTGGTTATGCTTCCCAAGCTGTATCTTTTTGCACTACCATGAATAGGGCTAGAAGAAATCTGTCCCTATGATAAAAGCAAATAAGTAATATATAAATACCTTTATATGACTTTCTTCCTTAACTATTATACTTCATGCTATTTGACCTCATGTTGAAAGAAAACATTGATGAACAAGGAATCATACCCAAGAACCACTGAAAGTCATCTTGGAACAAAGACAACTAAGAAGAGGGTGACAAAAATTCTGAAATAGAACTTGTCAGCCACAACATAAATGGACTGTGTTTATGCAAGCCGTTACATTTCACACCAACTCGGTGTCTCTGAAAATTTTTTATATAATATCGTCCATTAAAATCACTCCAGCTGCAACACTTTAAGTTTTTCATAATTTCCTAAATAACCTACACTGAGATTCCTTGAGACTCGTGATACATGTGGTTATTGTGCATTCAGACAAAATTGGAGGTGGAACAAAAACACCCCTACGATTAAAGGCAATAAATGAACTGGGTTAACAGTCATGCAGTGTGACACACACAAGACAACAATTCCTTCTGAGTGCAATCTGAGCATCCAAATACATCTATAACACACCAAGCAGTGCTTGTTCATGTTTTCTTACCGAGCCTGGTGTCTGCACAGGGCTCCGACACTGCACAGGAGATAAATCTATCGAATAAAATACCTCAAGTGACACTTGAGCATTGCTAGGAGGACTTCTGGGGGAAGTTGAAGGTAACGAGTCAGAGATGCTGCCATTCCCATCCAGAAAAAGCTTTCTTCTGAGAGATGAAGAACTGAGGTTTCCAGGAGATTGATCTGTAAATTCATCAGCTCTAAAATAGTCACCTGCATTTAATGATAGCAGATTAAAAGCTAGTCATTTGGAAAAGCAAATGTACTTCTGTTACCTGATCTTTTATTGTTGTTTTTTGAGACAAGATCTTGATATGTAGTTGAGGCTGGCCTTGAACTCATTATCCTCCTGCCTCAGCCCCCTAAGTGCTAGGATTACAGGTATACACCAACCATGCTCAGTTCTGTTACCTGACTTTTTCTTTTAAAATCAGCATATACCATATATGGTTTTTTTTTTTTTTTTCAAAAACGAGAGCCAAGTTTAATTGTATATGTAATGTTTAAAATCTCACATAATTTTTTATTTTTGGAATAGCTCATTTTTAGTATTCTAGTAATATCAGTAAGATGTTTATAGTTTATGCCTATACTAAAATTTTATTATGATTAAAAAGGCTAATTCAGACCATGTTCAAGAAAAAGAAAAATCAGGACAGTTTTTTCCCAGTTAAAGAAAGAGCCATTGCCATATATTCATATTACCATTTACAAAACCAAATCTCTAATTTATCAAAGATTTAAACAATACAGTATTTACCTAATATATTTTCTAAATTAAAATCCACAGGAAGAGACAGCAATGTCTGACAAGCAGCTGGAAGCAAGCAAAAAAATAAATAAATACATGTATAGATGTACATACATATATATATATATATATATATACATATACACACATACACATACATACATACATATAATCATAAACAAATCAATGAAAGCACATGACATGCACTTAGCATGTGTTTCCCAATCAACCATCGCCCTCTCAAGTGCTGGCAAGCTGAATTATTCTATCACTACACAAGCCACTACTGACAGGAACATGCTGATAGTGAAAGTTAACTCCTGGCTGTAGTGCTAACACTTCGAATTGAAAAAGCGAGCCTATACTTGGGGGGAGACTTCCCACATTAACAAATTTTCAAAAGAATACCTTCCAAAACCAGAAATCAATTCACACACATCAAACAAAAACCCCCCACACTCTTGCCACGTCTAAACTATGGCTGGATGCATTCGTTCTAGGACATCTGTTTTAAAAAGTCACCTCTCACAGTTACTATGATCATTTCCAAAAAACAAACAGTTTCAGTTCCAGAGTACTGTGTGATGTGAACTGGGTTTAAATCAAACATAACTTCATATTCAGCATATTTCTTTTCAGATTGTGCTCACACTCACCATTGCTTTTCTCAGAAGAACTGGTCAGCTTTTTTCCAATTGGAGAGTCACTATTTATATTAATGCCTGTGAAACATTGTAAATGGAAAATCATCAGAGTGAAAAATTTATATACTGGAAGCTTTTATAATATGTTATGAATAAATATCTGCATTTTTAAGCATACAGTCATGCTTCTGTTTTTTTTTAACTTTGAGAGAGTACAATGATAACATGAAAGGATTATCAGACCAAGTAAGGAGGTACCAAGTAATCTTTTTCAGTTTTTAGAATGCCAAGCAACAATTGTATATATTTGCAGTACACAATGCCGTGTTTTGATATGTAGGTACACTGTGGAATGAGCAAATGAGGCCAATTTACATACCCATATGTAAATTGCTTTTGTGGTAAGAATATTTAAAACATGCTTTTACAATTTTCAATACACATCATTGTTATACTCCCCTTGCTGTGCAGAAAGCTACCACAACTTATTCCCCCTGCCCAAATGAAACCTCATGCCTTTGATTACCAATACCCCAACACCCACCATTCTACTTTCTACTTCTATGAGTTTGATTTTGTAGATTCCGTATATAAGCATGATCACATGGTATCTGTTGCTTCCCCCAGAACATCTTAATCACATGGGGAAAAAACAATGACTTCAATTACACCAAAGTTAAGAATTTCTATTCCTCCAAGGAAATCAAGAACAAGTAAGATACATATAATTGAATGAGAAATGATGATATTTGAAATGGTAAAAACTAACTTAACTACAATATACAAGACAAAAAATGGATTTTTTGGGGGGTAGGGAGGATGCAGTGCTAGGGAAAAAGACCAGGGATTTGTACACTCTAGCCAAGTGCTCTACTTCCCCTAGCTTAGGTATCTTAGAAATTAATGGGGAGAAAAAGGATAGCAACTTCAATAGAAATGACCAATGAAAAGGAGACATTTTCTAGGAGGGGAAATAAAAAAGGCCATTAGCATATGAAGATGAAATAGGAATTAAAACAATCATATAGAATGGCAAATAACTTATAAGAAGGGCAAACTTCAAAAGCTGGAAGAACAAAGTGTTGATAGGGATATCCTGGGGGCCATGCAGACCTATGAGGGCAATCCAGCACTCTGTAGTCAAATTAGGCAAACAAGTATTCGATACCTCAGAAATCCTCTGCTTATGTGTATATACCAAACGATTCTCACTCAAGTCCATAAATGAAAACATTTAAGGATACGCACTGAAGCACCCTGATGCACAAATATTAATAGTAAAAGCTGAGAGGACAAGTTAACATCTATCAACAAAACCACTTTCCCCATTCATCCTGTTCTGTGCCAATCCTTAGGTAAATAATACTGAGCAATTACCAGGTACATGATCTCAGAGGTACCACAACAACCATCATTTTACAAATACAGAAACTAGCCTAAAGTCACACACCTAGTGAGTTATACTGGACACAATTCAAACCCAGACATTATTCCCAAGAAAGGGTCCACAACTATAGCCCATGGCACAGATCTACTTGTCATCTATTTTGCAAATAAAGTTTCAATGGAACACTCATTTATGTGTCCCCAGCGGCTGCTTCTGTACAGCAGAAGAGGTGAGTGCTTGCAACAGAGACTGTGTGATCTGCAAAGTCCAGCTCTTCTACAGGTAGAGGTTGCCAACTTCTGTCCTAATGTGTTACCCCATAGAACTTGTTCTGAGATTATGGAAATGTTCTATGTCTTCACTGTCCAATATGGTCACCAATAGCTATGTGTGGCTACTGAGCATTGAAATGGGAATAGTGTGACCGGGAGATTTACTGAAACAGGCACACATGACTAGTGGCTACCCTGTGTCAGGAAGTGTGCAGGGTCTAAGATTTTACTCTATTTACAAGCTAACGATTTAGTATGTCATACCTCTAAGGATGCTGAGTGAAGACAAGAAGCTTCTGGGTCAAAGACAAAGGACTACTGTTCTCAGCAAAGTAACAGCATGAGATCAACATTCATATCAGTTTCTTACATACCCCAAGTCCCAAGGAGGTGACAAAGAATAGCCCAAGTGGATGCTACACACACAGTAAATGCTATACCCTGAATCTAGAATGTTCCCCAAAGGTCCATGTGTTAAAGGCTTGGTCCCTGAGTTAGTGCTGTTGGGAGGTGGTAGAAATTTTAAGATGTGAGGACTTCTGGTCCCTGGGGGTGTGCCCTTGAAGGGGAAGTGGGACCTGAGTACCTCCACATTCTTTCACAACTAGCCATGAGAAGAACAGACCTCCTCAGTCATGCACTCCCACCATGATGTACTGTGCCAACACAGGCCCAAAGCAACAAGGCCAATTAGTCATGGACTAAAACCTCCAAAGCTGTGAGTCAAAATAAAACTTCCTTCTTCATAAGTTTGATCTCAGGTATTTTGTTACAACAGAAAGCTGAGTAACTCAGTGGGTATTTGTCACAGCTAAGAACCTTTAGCATAAGAAATCCCTTCAACCAAATCTGCTAAAGAGAAATACCTCTTTACTATACTGGACATCAAAATAAACCTACCTTCAACTCTAGAGGTACACACAATCTCTGTCTTCCAAAGATGACCATGATGCAAACATCCTTAGAAAGGGTTTGGAACAAACCCTCACTCCTTACAAGATATACAGAAGTGTCAGCGCTTTAAAGAATTGTCTCCTAACACCACACTAAGTAGCACAACTCTGTAGCCCATGCTATAACCAGTGCACTGTACCACTCAGGTCTGAGTTAGATAATTAAAACGGTAATATTTCTGCATCTTCCTGATATTGCATCACTTTAACTAAAATAGTTTCTCACAATAGGGAATGATGCCATAAAACAGATCACATAAGAAGGTAGATTCATCTGTAAAAACTCCAATATTAAAAAATTTGGAGGGATAGCTGGGCCAGGTGGTTCACACCTGTAACTACTCAAGAGGTGGAGATGAGAATCTTGGTTTGAGGCCAGCCCAGGCAAAAAACTCTGTGAGACTCTCATCTGAATCAATAAGCCTGGTGTGGTGGCACATGTCTGTGATCCCAGCTATGTGGAAGGTTTTATGTAGGAGGATTGTCTGAGGTCAGCCCCAGGCAAAAAACACAAGACCTTACCTAAAACCTAACCAAAGAAAAAAGGGCTAGGAGTATGGCTCAAGTGGTAGAGCACCTGCCTAGCAAGCACAAGGCCCTGAGTTCAAATTCTAGTACCACAAAAAAAGTAATTAATTGGGAGAGGAGAAGTATCTATAAAAATGTCACTTCAGACATGGAACTTTAGAGCTGTGAGAGATGGTAAAATAGACAACTCTCTACTCCCATCCTTTCCTTTTATACATAAAAACCTGAGGTCCAAGCCAGCACTCAGGAGGCTGAAGCAGGAGGAGAGTGAGTTTGTGGTCAGCCTAGGCTATCTTGTTAGACCTTGTCTGAAAAAAACTAATCTCCCCCAACCCCTGCAACAATAATAACAAAAATCCTGAGGTCCAAAAAGACTGAATAATTAAATCCAGGTCACTCCTCTGTTTATAGTGTCAGGAGGTTTACACTCCAGGTCTCCATTCATCATTGCACTTCCCTTTCAGTTTGTGATGGCTGAGTAATGCAGAATCTGATCTGAGATGCCTAGTTTGAATTCAGGTTCTGGAACTTTCTTAAATGAGATTTTCTCAAATATAAAATGGGCCAATAGTTGTACCTACCTCCTGAGTTATAAGGAATTACTGAAAGTACTTTGTACTGTCCTGGCAGAGAAGCATGTAATCTATTTTACCTATTATTATTGTGTTTTTGATAAAAAATGTAAGAAACATTCCCCTTTATACTGAGAGCATAACTGAGGCACACTATGCAGAAGAGTGGGTAATTCTCCTGCAATAAGGGATACATATATACCAGTGATATCAGGACACTGCTCACAAGCCCAAGGACAGTGACAGTAAATGTTAATACAGCCAGTGCTGGAGGAAGAAAGATATCTGAAAGACTACTGGCTTGCCCTTTAATTTTTTTTTATTAACTTTGCAGATAATCAGCTATAATACTCTGCCCCAGAGATCATGCAAGTCTCTATCCTTGTTCTATTCTTACAACAAATTAGAAAATTAGCAAAAAGTAAAGAATTTTATTCAAAATATTAACCTTCAAAATCACTGCTAAAGTCATTAACAATTCAACTCTATAGTCAAAATCAAGTATATGTATGAATGGATCTTCTATAAGCATCACTGCAACTGGTACTCACAACGGTTATGAAGAAACTAAAGCAGAACAGAAAGGTAAAAGAAATATAGTATTTTTTAGTCAAGTTTTGATCTTTATCTTAAAAGGAGTTAAGTCCTGTTTTCCAGAAGTTTAATTTTAATTAATTTCCTTACACAAACAGCCAAATTGGCACTTAGCTATGTTGCTTTAGATTCACTGACTTTTTTAAAGACTTTATGATTTTTATTGTTTTTACTCATGTGATTTTTAGTACACTCACATTTATTGGAATGATATTCTGAAAGCTGTTTCCCGTCATGGTCAGTCCAAGGAGAGGGGACGATGACATCTTTAGTGAAAAACTAGGAACATTAAAGTCATATTAATTAGGCATAGATTCTTCCCCCAAATGCAAAAAAGGTATTTGCATTATATTCAAATAATAATCAATCATGTCATATAGTGACTTTAGTTGTATTTAAGTTTTCTAGAACATAAAAAAATTAAATTCCATATAAAGGGAAGTATTAATACTTTAAACCACTTACATTTGAAATATGTAAATTAAGCTAAGGACATTAGTCAAAAAGAAATTATTTTAAAGTTTTTTCTCTCAATTGTTTTGAAGTAGATGGTGACTAATGGAAGAGATAGACATACAATAGCTAAGCTAGTGTGAAAGGTGTGCTGGAGCTACCTTGGACTGGCTCCCAAGATCTGATTATTACAGTTTCAGGAATTTTTGGACACCAGTTGTTAAGCCCAATTTAAAAATAAAACTGCAAATTTATAAATGAATCACATTAAAAATATTTAAATCTCATTTTATTACATTTATCAATATCTATGCTCCTGAGGTTAATTACACCTATGTGTCTATGTGATGGAATTCCCATACACAGTAGTCTACAACTACACTTTTCCCATTTGGTTAAGTCACATTAGTAGCTTGAAATTGGCCATGACACCATGGATAGCAGCAATCACTATAAACCACACTCCTTCTACAAACAGAGGGTCAGAGGTTAAGCATTTACCAGTACACAGCTAGACAGTACACTCAAATGGAGACAGAATATATGGACACATTTCTTTCTTCTTTCATTTCTAATGCAGTACTGTTACCTTCCCCATGTTTTGAGGATAAAACATTTTAAGTTGATACACATAGGACAGAGATAAAATTTGTTTAACTACCTCTAAGTATAGGAGGAAAAGATGTAAAAACAAAAGGAGTGAGAAAGAGATGATATAGACAAGTTATACATACACACAAAAGACACATAAAGGACTTATAAAGTGACACACAAGTTTACTCAAAATTAAAAAAAATACAAATCCATATAAGATATCATTTAAAATAGCAAGTAGCACAAAATTTAAAAAGCTTGATAATGACTATTATTGCTGATAAGAAAAAAAAAGCAGTATCATAATGAACAAGGAGTATAAGCTGGTATAATCTTTTAGGAGGGTAATATGGCAATATCTACCAAAACTGAAAATGCACAAAGATTCTGACTTAGCAAGTTCACCTCAAGTACACAAAATACATGGTCAAATCACCACAAAGTGTGATGCAAATAAACACAACTTAAACATCTATCAACAGGGGCCGGTTTTCACACTGTTACTATAAGAATACAAAAATCTGTGTGTGCGATTATCAAAAATATCTAAGACAGATTATTAAGCAAAAAGAAGACATTAAACAGTACAAGAAGGATAAATATATCTACTTAAAAATTTAAAGGATATATGCTGTTATATGGATAAAATTAATCTCAAACGAACACAAGAAATGTTGAAGCAATTGTCTTCAGAGTGAGGGAGAGGGAAACAAGAGTTTTTCATTTTCATTTTATAGTTTTTCTTTGCTTTTGAGGTTTTTGTTTTTACTATTTACACATAATTATTCTACTGGTCAAAATGTTAAGAAAAAATTAAATTTGTTTCTGATATAGTAACCCTAATCTTCACTCTGACTTCATTTCCTTAAGTTTCTCTTTAAACAACTTTAAGGATTCTAAAGAGAGAGCATATTTCCCAAGACACTAGAAAATTAGAAAGAGCATAAGAATATTCAGCTGGGGAAAACTAAGTGATTGAATCACAAAAATTTGCAGTTATATGTAGAGTAAGATGTAAATAATGTCTGGCAGGAACAACATATGAAACTATTTTCTAAACATTAGGCTATAACCTGAAACATAAGGAGGCAGTATCTTCATTAGACATGTTAGTGAAGGAGGGGCCAGTGTATCACCTGACCTCTGAACATGCCATAGCTGCAGTTTTTTGGGTACAATACAGAAGAGCCAAATATAGCTAAGGAGTAGAGGTGGGTAGAGGCAGCTAGAAAGGGGAAACAGGAAAACCCAGAAATTTTGCCATGCCCTAAAGATTTTTCTGAGGGAAAGAACTAGACTGATAATCCTTACTTACATTCTAGAAGGAATTCAGCAAACAAAAAAGCAAAAAGTGAAAAATTTAGTTATGTCAAAAAAAACCTACATGAAACAAACCACCTTAAGATTATGCTTAGCAATAAGACATTTTATTTCATGAAATATATTCTGCCTTAAAAATTCTAAGTATCAGCAACAAAAGACAAAAACATCACCAATCTAGATTTTGAAGACCTGAAAAGTATTCAGCTTCCTTTATCTAAATTTCAACTTGAAATGGAATTTTCTGCTAATCAATATTCTTAAGATTTGGGGAAGTCAAGCCATACCAGACCCTGAGAATGAAAAGATGAAAACAGCGTAACATTGGCAAAAAAGTACTCCATCTAGAGAAGAGAAGTACAAAGCCAATCACTGCAATAGATACAAAGTACAAGAGGTACCCAGATGGCTGAAAAATCACAGGTCTTTCAAGAGCACAGAAGGGTGTGTAACATAGTTGGGGAGGGACTGAAAGGACTGGAGGGGAGATGGGACAGTGAAGGATTTGAAAAAAGTCTTCCTAAAAGAGGTGACACACATGCAAAATTAATCCTTAACTGGCTTAATGATCAGTAAGAGTGTTAAGTTACCTCTTCAATGGCTTTTTGTCTTTTGTCTTCCACATCTTTATCTATTCTATACAGAGATAAAGAAGAAAAATAACCATGCCATTACTTCAGCTTATTGAACATTTAAAATAATAATCTTTCAAAGAAATAATTTCCCTCCATTGAAAACTGGCAACTGTTAAAGCTCACTTTAAAAGAAAAATTGTATCTTAAAACATTTAGTTAATGGCAGTATTCTGAAACTCAGCATTTACTTATTAGGCTTACCTCCCTCTTTTCAATTCAAAGTTTGAATGAGTAATACTTTTTATGAAAAGTTACATTGATATATTTAAATCATTGCCAACAACATAATTTCAATGAAATCTGTCCTTTAATCAACATTTCTATCATTTGATAGAAATCTAAAAATTTCCCAAATTCTTTTTCTTCAATTTTATTAAGTTTATTATAATGGTAACTTTAAGATAAACTTTTACTCTGACATAGAAGAAAATAAGCTATCTTTACAGTTGTGAGTAAACAGGCAAAAATATTATTTCTCAAATACAACAGCAACAATGTAAAATTCTGTACAAATGAATTCTTTTTTTCGCTTTGATATGAAATTATAGCAACATGATCTTCTCAACTATAAGATTTAATATAAAATGTCGGGTCTTAAAGACAAGGCATACACTTGCCAAGAACTGAGCAGTTAGCCTTGCAAGACCACTTCTTTACTCTGTTTCAGAAGGAATGCTTACATTAAATCCATATTTTGACAAGCATTTTTTTACAATTTCAATTTTTTTTTTTTTTTTTAGAAAGTGTTGACGCAAATATTTGTTCCTGGCTTCATAAAGCCTGTATGAGAACATACACACTTCAGAAATTTAAATAAAATAGATTTTTTTCAAATAAGGGAATTATGAGTAAGTGAACTGGTGATAACGCACATATCCCAGCTCCAGTGACAGCCATTTTGAGACCAGTTACTCAGTTCTCTTCAACTAATCATGGTCATGACCAGGTTAAAATAACTGTGCCTAATTATTTTAGCTTACAGTAAGCTCTGATCTAGTTTTACCTCATCAGAGGGCCTTCAAGAACTTGAATATTGCTGCAAGCAGTAAAAATTACTACAGCCAAATATTGTAGAGCCAGGTTAAGATGATAAAATGTTCTCAGAAGCCAGCTAGGGCAGAGCATCCTGATCAGCAGATCAATGGAAGCCAACAGTATACACAGGTATTGTGTGTTCTGAACGCTGATCCTTGGGATGGGAGGAGGAAAGGAAACCTTCAAGGTTGGCCACCTCTCGTGTGGACAAGACTCATTTGTTTACACCACCAGGCCTTATAATATCATTCTCTGTGTGTGCTATGGCATGAGAAGTAAGGCAAGAACTGACATAGCTAGTTCTGATTAATTAAGAAGAGGTACCAGATGTCACTGCTTGTTTCTAAGCTCTGTTGAGAGTAATTTTCACTATCCTCAGTAGAAGTCATAACCATTCGCTGAATTACATTAGTAAATTATATGAGTATTTTTCCCACTCTTTCCCCCCTCTCCTATATCATAAAACTATCCACTGAAATAAACCAAGATTCCCTTTAAAAACCTACTCTAGTGAAATAGGCATGGTGGCATACACCTATTACTCAGAAGGCAGAGACAAAGAAGCCAGCATGGGCAAAAAAGTCAGTGAAACCTTGTCTCAAAAGTAAGTCAGGCATGGTGGTGCATACCTGTAATCCAGGCTTCTGGGGAGGTGAAAGTAGGAAAACTGTAGTCTGAGGCAAGCCCAGGCAAAAAATGCAAACCCTATCTAAAATACACTAAAAATAAAAAAGGACTGCAGGGCATGGCTCAAGCACAAGGCCCTGATATCAAGCCCCAGTAGAGAGAGAGAGAGAGAGAGAGAGAGAGAGAGAGAGAGAAAGAGAGAGCGAGCGCAAGCACGCGCACAACACAGCGCACACAAACACCTACCTAGATAACACATCATTCATTAGTGAATGCAGAATGTTGTGTTGAATTGTGGTCTAACTGTATTAGATCTTCGGTACAAGAATAATATCGTATAGTGTCCAGATACACGTTTCAGTGTTTCTTACAGTGGCTCACTGTGCTCAATAAATACCTCTTGGTGGATGGGTATTAATAGTTGTTCATAATTCAACTATTGAAGGGATGAGGCAAAATGACAAAGTATACAGCTTGTGTGAGACAAAAAAAATCACTCATGAACAGCAACTTATTTGCTTTTAGTCTTTTCTCTTTCAGAGGTTATTATTTAAATTTAAGTTAAAACCCTTTTATGCTGTACTTCATTCTATTCCTTTCCTATAGCAATTTAGCTGAACATTAATTAGAGGGAATGGTCATCAAGTTGCCAAGCAAAGGAGGGATGGAGTAGTGGAGTAGACAAAACAGACAAGTCTTTGCAAGAGTACCTCAACATATGTGCATCTTTGTGTAAATGAATTCTAAAGTCAAAGAGGGGGAAGATCCCATTATTTTGGGCTAACAACGCATCTATGTTAGGATAGAAAATTAAAAGCTCATCATATCATTTGATTTTTCTCACATGTTAAAAAAAAGACTAGAAAACAAGGGCCTTCACCTGTAAACAGTACCACCCAACAATCTGTAATCAAATGGCTCCATTCCCCTAAAGAAGTGCACATTCTCACTCCATTGGGCGTCAGTCAGCAGGTTATGTCTAAAACCCACTCAAACACCAACAAAGTTAAGAATGCACAGGTATTATGTAGAATTTAAGAAAATTTAATTCACATCACCCAGTGAACTATGTTAAAGTGGGATGATGTCTGAAAACCTTGTTTCCAGTCAATGTGTCTTCTTAAGGGGATTTTAAATTTAGGCTTCCCCAAGCACAGACAGCAACTAAACAGAATCTTGCTTTATTTCAAAATGCTAAAAACAAAACAAAACATAAACACGTCAAAGTGACAGCCATGGAAAAAGGTAAAATTTTAAAATGCTCTCCCTTTACAAAGTGCTGGGGAGGTAGAGCTGTCTCCTAAGTAGCAGAGAGAGGTTATCTCTAAAAGAAAAGGATTCCTATCCAGATTTGGAAATATTAGCCAGGAAATCTTTCTGGATGTAGTTCTTTGAGCTCCCTCATTTTGATAGGAAAACAATCCACATCAAATCTTTTTCCTCCTTGATATCTTACATATACAAACATCAACTTTAACAATATACAATCTCTCTTCACCTAACAGTATGCTATTACATTCCACTGAAAGAAAGGAAAACTTACCGAGAATGACTTAAGTACGAGGCTTGACGATGAATCTCTTCTGGGTCTATTTCTACAGGATTTATAACAGCAAGTTGATCAATAGACCATCTAAATTCCCCTGGAGTCTTATCAAAAGAAAGTGAGCTTATGAGTAAAATTGAACTAAAACAGTTATCAAAATGCTAGCCAATGTCACCTTCACAAATAATGTGAATGGCTACAATATAAAAATATCTTAAAGCTTGTATTTTCAAATCCTATTTTACCATTAAATTAACTGATGAATGGTAATCAAATCACACCGTCAACCTTTTTTACTGCATGTCTTACAAAATATCAAAATCTTCTATCTAAGTGATTTAAAAAATTGCATAAAAATCACAACAGAATAACAAAGGTATAGAAACTCCACAATTAACACTCAACAGTAATACACCATTCCCATGTGAAAATAAAAACACTTAGAGAGTTATCAAAGGTCAAAGGCCTTTACTTTCACTAAGAATGAGCTAAAGTAAGCAAAGTACTAACTACATGTAGCTTCAAAAGCTCACAAAATAGTTGATCCCTAAAATAACTATGAATGGCAACTAGTGCTACCTTTCCATATACAATTATCCAACTGAATCAAAAAACTTACTCACAGAACACCCACAGAGTGGGAGAAAATATTTGCCAATTATACATCAGACAAAGGACTGATAACCAGAATATACAGGGAACTTAAAAAACTAAATTCTCCCAAAACTAATGAACCAATAAAGAAATGGGCATGTGAACTAAACAGAACTTTCTCAAAAGAAGAAATTCAAATGGCCAGAAAACACATGAAAACATGCTCACCATCTCTAGCAATAAAGGAAATGCAAATTAAAACCACACTAAGATTCCACCTCACCCCTGTTAGAATAGCCATCATCAGCAACACCACCAACAACAGGTGTTGGCGAGGATGCGGGGAAAAAGGAACCCTCTTACACTGTTGGTGGGAATGTAGACTAGTACAACCACTCTGGAAAAAAATTTGGAGGCTACTTAAAAAGCTGGACATCGATCTACCATTTGATCCAGCAATACCACTCTTGGGGATATACCAAAAGACTGTTACTCCAGAGGCACCTGCACATCCATGTTTATTGCGGCACTATTCACAATAGCAAGTTATGGAAACAGCCAAGATGTCCCAGCACTGACGAATGGATTAAGAAAATGTGGTATCTATACACAATGGAATTTTATGCAGCCATGAAGAAGAACAAATGTTATCATTCGCTGGTAAATGGATGGAATTGAGAACATCATTCTGAGTGAGGTTAGCCTGGCTCAAAAGACCAAAAATCGTATGTTCTCCCTCATATGTGGACATTAGATCAAGGGCAAACACAACAAGGGGATTGGACTATGAGCACATGATAAAAGCGAGAGCACACAAGGGAGGGGTGAGGATAGGTAAGACACCTAAAAAAACTAGCTAGCATTTGTTGCCCTTAATGCAGAGAAACTAAAGCAGATACCTTAAAGCAACTGAGGCCAATAGGAAAAGGGGACCAGGAACTAGAGAAAAGGTGAGATCAAAAAGAATTAACCTAGAAGGTAACACCCACGCACAGGAAATCAATGTGAGTCAATGCCCTGTATAGCTATCCTTATCTCAACCAGCAAAACCCCTTGTTCCTTCCTATTATTGCTTATACTCTCTCTACAACAAAATTAGAGATAAGGGCAAAATAGTTTCTGCTGGGTATTGAGGGGGGGAGCGGGGGGGTGGAGTGGTGGTAAGGGAGGGGGTGGGGCAGGGGAGAAATGAACCAAGCCTTGTATGCACATATGAATAATAAAAGAAAAATGAAAAAAAACAAAAAACACAAAAAAAAACTTACTCACATTCCAATTTGTAATTAGGAATATATTCTAGCAAAATTCAGTCCTAAAAACTCAAGATGTCAAACATTTTAGCTTTGATGATTAAATTGCTGTCACTTTTATTTTTATAAATACTAAAAGATAACAAAACTGCACCATGATTCAATTAAAAATCATGAAGCCACTTTAATGAAATGATTCAATAAAAACTGCAAAATGATTCAACTCCTCTCGAGCGCATACCTGCTCACTGTCCAAACTGATATGGAAGTGCAACAGAAAAGTCAGCTTGTTATACAATTTTCCTAGTAACCGACTAGGCTAACAGATGAGACTTCAAAAGAACTTCTCCAGGGTAAACGAGTAAAATTATGCAGTTAGGAAGCCTCTTCTAATCTCCAAAAACACATATTTCCTTCCATATTGCCCTGGTGCTAACCACTAACCACAGCAAAAATTCCACCATTTTGAAATTGCTTATTTAATTATCTACATAAGCAATTTAGGCTACTTTTGTTGGTGGTTTCTTGAGACAGGGACAGGGTCAGTATCTCTCTAAGATTATAGTCCTGGGATTACAAACTTGCATCACCTCACCTAGTAGTAGATTGGCTTCTTTTCAAGCTAAGAATGGTTTCAACATTTTTAAATGGCTGGAAAAAACCCAAAAGGATATTTGTATTTCATGACATGAAATTCAAATTTCAGTGTCCATAAGCTTTACTGGAACACAGCCACATTTTATTTGTTTATCCCTTACCTGTGGCTGCTTTTGTGATATAAGATAAAGGTTGAATAGTTCAGTGGTGACCAGATGACTTGCAAAGCCTATATTTCCTGTCTGGTCCCTGGACTGGAGAAAAAACTGTTGCTCCCTATACTGGAGTATAAGCTCTTTGAGGGTTATGTAACCCCTGTGTTCAGCACTGTATCTGATGCACAAAGGCATGGAAACGATGCTCACTGAACAGATCAGAATCATAATTAGATAACACAGCTTCTCCTCTAATTTGATATTAGTGTATATCATCAACCAGACTACCAATGCTTGAAACTACAGTAAGCTAACTATAATCCCTTGCATTACAAAAAAGCAAATGCTAGATAGGTACCACCAGATAGGTAGCAGCTAGACAGGGTGCTACTGCACATTAGGGTGTCTATATATAACAATAACATAGTGTGTATTTAAAAAGCTAGGATTTTGAATTTTTACACCACAAATGACAAATATTGATACCTTACCCTGACTGAAACATTTCACAATGCATACATGCATCGAAGCATCACATGCTACTCCATAAATATGTACAATTTTTGTGTTTTTATGTATCAAAACTTTATTAAATTTTTTTTAAAAAGCAAATGCTAACCGAAAACTTTTCTAGCTAACTTATAACTAGATTATAATGAACACTACAATTTAAAAAGCATATTGCATTTATACATATTCCGTGATGTATTTTCCTCTTACCTTGTAAAAGATATTAACATTTTCAATTATTTGTAATTATGCCCATTTAAGTTTAGTTGTAAACAGTAGTAAAGAATAACTTACCGGTAGTTTTGTGGATTTAAAAACAGAAGGACTGGCAAGTGTTTGTTCATGGAGATTAGAATAATCGCTAGGACTTTCAAAAGGATTTAAACAGGGATCCTTCCTGGAGTTTCCGGCGTTATTTGCATATTGAGTTCTTTGACATCTCCCATAGCACAGAAAGCAGACTAAAAAGAAATCAGAAGTATACAAATTAGAAAGTACCATAGACATTAATCTTGACGATTAAAATACAGTCAACCAATACACATTTCACAAAAAGAATCAACTCAAAACCTTAGCCTCTTGGTGTTACTTTACAGTTTACAAAAAAGCATGACACATTTTTTCAAGCGATCCTCGAAATAACCTTCGAAGCTAGAGGGGTAAGGCACTAGTGCTCTCACTTTGCAGAGGAATGAACGAACTCAGAGAAGTCCAGTGCCTTGAGGCATCGCAATGGTACAACAGGAACAAGTCCCTTTCCAAGTAAACGACTTTCTCCTTGCGGTTTTTTAATTCACTCAAGACTAAACACTACAGCCATCTTCCCAATACCCCAGTAATTCCCTACCTAACCGAAGTTGTTTTCAGACAACTCCTTGTAGCAGGCAAGAGCTGGGGAAGCTGGTGCACGGGCTCCCTCCTGTGCCCGACTCGCGACTGGGCATGACCGATCGGTCTTCAGAATTCACTGTGCTGATTGCCCTGCAAACATCCCACCTTCGCAGCCCTTCCGCCTCCCTCACCCCGCATGCCGAGCCGACTGCTTTACCTCCAGTTAGAGGGGCCACGGCCAGAGAAAGCGAAGAAGCTACTCCGGACGGGCGGGGTACAGCTGGCTTCCTGGGTGAGCCTCGGAGATGTCACCCCAAGCCTAGGCAGTCACCCTTTCCGGGCGCCCCTCTTTTCCCAGCTTCTCCCTGCTGCTCCCAGTCACACCTAGGCGGGCCGGCAGACTAGAGCTGGGAAAAGTGAGCTCTCCAATTCGAGAAAGGAGAAAGGGCCAGGAGCTACAAAGAACGTACCTACCGGCCGCCTACAAAAAGGAGCCCCTCGACACCACCTCCAGGGCTCCCCGGGCCAGGTGAGCTCCCACGACAGGCAGACTCTTTAACTCCCCGCTTCCGCGCAGACTTAGGCCAACCAGGCCTCGGGGCTGAGGGAAGCAACTAGCCAATCACGACGCACCGCTGTCCGCAAACCGACCAATCGCGACGAGGCGGCGTGGTAAATTCGAATGCCAACTCCTCGCTCTACATTCCGCGCTGAGTAACGAGGCTCCAAATTCAAATCAACGCAGCCTCACGCTGGCGACGGGCGCGAGGGGGCGGAGCCTGCCCGGCGTGAGCCGGGACGCGCGGTGTGATTGCCCCGGCGAAAGGAAGGCGCTCCAGTTCCGGGTCAGGTCGCCCGCCTCCCTCGTCCTCCGCCATGGCGAGCAGTAGCGGCCCCGGGGCGGGGCCGCGGGCTCGGCAGCGAATCTGAATGCGGTGAGGGAGACCATGGACGGTGAGTGCTCGCTGCGCCCCCTTTCTCTCGCCTCCGCTTCCCGGGCGAGGGAGCCTAGCAGGGATGCGCGTTCCCCTTCCAGCGCCCAGCGGCATTTCTGGCGGTCTTACGAGAGGACCGAAGCTGACGGCCCCATTCTTTGAGAGTTGTCCTTTCGTTTCTGCGTCGGTGCCGCGCGCACGGCGTTCTGGCCCCCACGTCAGTCGGTTGCGCGCCCGGATCCCAGAGGCGCGCGCTCCCGCGTCCCACTTCCCGCGCCAAATCCCGCGCGCCCCGCCGCGGTCTCCCCTCCTCCCTAGCGCCAGGGAGCCAAACCCGGCTAGTGTATAGGTCACCGCTGTCCCGTGTGTCTGGCTGGCACTTCAGTAGACGCTGTTAAATATCCAGCGGATGAACAGGTCTCCCCTTTATCTTCGTCGCCCCAGCCTTGTCAGTGTTGCGCCCCGAGCCACGTGGGTGTGGAGCCCACGCGCCCTAACAGAAGAAATAAGCGTGTTATTAGTTCACCCCCGCTCTGTGCTCCCATGTCTCCAAGACTTTCTATCCCTTGCCCGACTCACTGGCCTGAGACTTTTTCCTCTCCGAACCAACACGGCACCTCCCAGGGTTATTGTGAATACTTAAGACACCAGGTATAGACATAGCAAAAGATGATCAGTGTTTTGTTTTTGCTATGACATCAGATGCCACCCCATTTGCAGACACCTTTCTGTCTCCATTTCACCCGTTTCCTTCTCTCTGGCTGTTGGAGGGACATTGGATGATTTCCAGGGTTTACTCTTCTCAGCCTACGGCATTCCCTTCTGCCCCCGACCTTCCCTAACGTAACTCCTCCATGTTTTGGGTATGTCGTCATTGCTTGCTGTGTTCCTTTTCAAAGAATTCTACCTTAGAATCCTTGTGTTTGCTTTTTTGTTTGTTTTGTTTTGTTTTAACGTAATAGTATCTATTTAGTCGTTTTTCTGAGTTTTGTTCTTAACACTGTTCAACCTGTTCATCCTTCTTGATGTCTCACAGCTTATTGATTTTATTTTATAATGTCAATTCATGTACATAAGAAATTTATATGAATTTAACGTGAACAATATCATCTTGTGTCTTTCTTCAGAAGCCAGCGTGCTTTTTGACCAGTATGGGGAGTTTAGGCCTCACTTCCAGCCTCTTTCCTTATGTTATCTGTTGCTTAGAGTAACCATAAGATCCCATTTAAATGGAAAATTTGTCTTACGTCTGATGGATGCACTGAGGTACAAATGAGAATTAATTTGCTTTGGTTGGATTGTCAAGATCTTTTCTAAGAGGATTTAGTGTAGAATGAAAATTAGAATATAAGGTTATAAAAAAGTAAAGGCCAGAGATTTAAAAACAAACAAACAAAACTTGGAGGAGAGGATGTGTGGCATTTCATTGTACTTAAATTCATTAATGAGAGTCAAATAGTGAAGTTTTCAAACTTTTTGAATTTCCTTTCTCCCATTAATGGCAGCTTTTTACCCTTCAAGATCTAGTGTATTGCTCCTTATGGTCTTCCTCACTCCCACTAGTAGTAGATAGCTAATAGTGGTTTGATTTTTTATTTTGTATTTTCTTTATTTATTTTGAGTCAGAGTCTCACTATGTAACACAGACTGTCTGGAACTTGCTATGTAGCCCAGACTGACCTCAAACTCATGATCCTCCTGTTTTTGCCTCCTCCAAGTGCTGGGGGCATGGACCACTGCACCTGGCTGAATTTAACCTTTTAGCAGATGTCAGTGATTGGAGCGATTGTAGAACTCCACTGTAAAATTTTTCATGTTAATTGGAATTGAAGGGATTTTGTTAAAGATAATTCACACATGAGAGAAAAGCAGGTAGGCTTTGTAATTTGTCTGCACACTTAACCTTGAAAGGAAGCTGATCTGTCCCAGCCCTGATTTAGTATAAGAACTATGGCGTAAAATCTTTTCTCATCTTAGATCCTCAACATTCTTTTCTAACATTTCTTCTTAAAATAGGCCTTCTTAACTAGTGTTCTCTTTCCTTCAGTTTACTTAATTGTCTCTCTCTTTTTTTTTTTTTTAGTTGTGCTGGGGGTACATTGTGGCATTTACAATGTTCTTACAATATATCAAATATATCATGCTTGAATGCACCTCCTCCATCATTCTCCTTTATCCCCCTAACTGCCTCTTCTTTTTTCAACATTTTGAAACCTTAGAGTTTCCATTGTTTCATGCCTTAATTTTTATTTTCTTATAGTCTAAAATTTTCTTTATAGTTTAATTCCTGTACATTTAATAGTGTAATTCCTCTAATTTTGCTAGTAATTAAGTTTTTGACAGTCATTCCTTAACAGAGGCTTCAATATATACCACTTTGTACATCAGGTAATAAGCTTACAAAACGCATTATAAGAAACGAGTTAAGAGAGCCATTTGACTAGCACTGTAATGCAGGGCCAGTGAAGCAAATGAGTAGTTCATGCTATCACCCTCAACCCAGTTGTTTTGAGAAGGAAACCTGGGAGTCAGTCTGGTTTTCTTGTACCTCCTTACCTCCTGTTCTTCAGAAAATGCTTTAAAATTCTTCATTCATTTCAGATTTGATGACTTGTCTTAATCTTTCCTGACTGTGACATTCACCAGTTTTTCACCAAAACTACAATAACAGCAGGATTCCAGGTATACTCCATCAAGAGCCATTCCATATTCAGTCAGTCTCTTTTCAAATGCCAACCCAATATCATTTCTCTTCTGCTTTATATCTTTGAGTAGCTTCCACAGTTCTAAAATCTTTAATAGGACTTCAGTGGATTTGCAAGTCTCCTATTTCCTATTATACCCATTCACCCCCTTAATAACATTGCCTTTACACTAGCTGTTCACATCTGTGAGTTTACCAAGTTTTCTCCAGTCTAGGAACCATTGTATATAGATTGCTATCATTCTTCCTTCTGCCTCAAGTTGGTTTTTGCTAACCCTTGAAGTCTGGGTTACTTGTCTCTCTCAAAAACTGTGTCCTTGCAAACTTGGTAAAATGCTCTTGTAATTTATTTCAGAAGAATGCTATTTCCCTTCATTTTGCTTAGAACTGGAATCAGTCTTAGTCTGCTTTGTGAGAATACCTTAGTCTGGGTAATTTATAAAAAATAGAGCTTCATTAGTTACAGTTCTGGAGGCTGGGAGTTTCAAGGTTAAGGGGCTTAAGTCTGATGAGATTCTTCTTGCTGGATCATCTCATGTTGGAAGGTGAAAGGACAAGAGCACATGTACACAAAAGAGCGGGAAAGGGACCTGATTCATCCTTTTGTCACAAGCCCATTCCTGAGGAATAAATTATCCATTCCCAAGATAATGGCATTCATTCATTCATTAGGACAAAGCCCTCACGTTCTAATCGCCTCTTAAATGCCCCACCTCTCAGTGATGCTGCATTGGGGATTAAGCTCCTGTGAACTTTGGGGAACACATTCAAACTATAGCAACTTGTTTGTTAAGTATCTGTCTTAGGTTGTAATGTCTCTGAGGTCTTGGATATTGCTCATAATTGTCTTTTCAGCTCTAGTATAATAGGCATAAAATACATATACGCGCCAACTGCAGAGTGGGCTTAAGAAAATACTTACCGGTTACATTTTGTGAAGATAAGAAGTAAATATCAATATCAACTTTAAAAAAAGCTTACAAGAAATACTAGAACTGAGATGGATGCAAAAGACAGCATGAAGCCATATGAAGGGGAGAGAAAAGGCAGAGGAAGAAAGTGTGAACAGAAGTATGAAGTCAAGAATAAGCATTTACAGGTATGGGTTTAACATGAACAGAATAAACTGGAGAATAATTTGTCAGGAGCAATTAATGGTGATGATGATAAAGTTGGGATAGGGCCTGAATATGTGTTCTGGTTATCTGTTACTGTACACCAAACTTAGTGGCATAAAACACCAAAATTTACAGTTCAAGGTGATGGACAGGCTCCTTTCAGTAATTGTCAGTGAGAGCCCTCAACTGTTATAGTTAGACTACTGTCTAACTAACTGAGTCAAGTTATCTCAAAGCTTCCTCACTCACATATCAGCTCTTGATGCTGCTGCAGCTGGGCTCTCAGCAAGGGCTTCTGTGAACATGGAGTTCAGATATCCCAAGTTCAGTGTTCATTAGCTGCAGTTAGGAAGTCTGTCAAAGCAGTATATCAACCTCAGTAGGTCAAAGGAGAAAAGCCACTTGCTTACTTCAGCGATTGATGAAAAACTATAAGACTGCAGTTTTCCAGATTTAAAAAAAAAAAATCTTAGGAAAAGAAAATGATACGTTTTTAATATAATTAAAGATATGTATGAAACCAACATTATCTCTTTTTTTTTTTTTTTTCCCTTGGTGGTTTGGGGCTTAAACTCAGGGCCTCATGCTTGTAAGGCAGGCACTTTACCACTTGAGCTGTTCTGCCAGCCCCCAACATCATCCTTAATGTTCTTGTTAAATACATTCCAAATAAAATAGGAAACACCTGCTTTCACTGCTTTTTAGAAAATGTTCCTTTTACAAATGCCAAATAGCATGGGATAAGAAAAAGGTTATTAAAAAGCAGATGAAATGGTTATTTGTAGATTAAGTGATTATCTGACTACAAAATGCACGAAGGTAGATTGAAAAATTGTTAGACACTTCAATCAAATTTGTTAAGGTATCTGGCTAAAATATGTAATGCCCCAGTATAGCAATAGTAATGATAAAAGTTAAAGGTGAAACTTTCATTGTTTTTTCAGTCTTTTGACTTAAGTGTAGGAAGTTGAAATTTTCTGCTCCAAGCATATAAAAATGATAGGAAATAATATAAAATGTAATTATCAGCATAGCCATGTTCAAAAATAAGAAAGGAAGCCTCCGTTGATCAGAAAGAGAAAGGTTCCCCCCAAAAGAATGGAGCAGATGGGAATCACAGCAGGGTGTTGGAAATAGAACCTGAGGAAGCTTGCTGCCCTGCCTGTGCAAACCTGGGAGTCACATGTACCATCTGCC